AAAAAAAAAACAACCAAAAAACTGAGCGTCACATTTTCCTTTGACGACTTTTAATACCTTCCCAAGCTTGTCCAGTTTTTTCAGCTCCAGCGGAATACACATTGGTAGCGGCGGTTTTTGTGCCATCATAGACATTGGAAGCAACGTTCTTTGTGCCGCCATAAACATTGGAAGCAGCATTCTTTGTGCCATCATACACATTCGATGCGGCATTTTTGGTGCCATCAGCAATTGATCCAGCCGTGTGCTTAGTTCCGTCCCAGACATTGTGTGCGACTTCTGATGTTTTTTCGCCAACGGCATGAACTGCTTTACCAGTTTGATCATAAGCATCATGAGCCACTTTTCCGCTAGTTTCAATTGTCGTGTTAATAGCACTCTTGGTACCACCAACAATCACTTCACCTGTATTATATACTTTTTCGCCAGCTTGTTTGGTCCCTTCAGCCAATGATGCAGTAGTACTCTTGGTTGTATCCCATACATTATGAGCAACTTTGCTCGTCGTATCAACTGTTGTATTCAAAGCTGTTTTCGTTCCACCAACAATGGCATCGGTCGTTTTGCCAGCTTTTTCTCCAATATTCGAAGCAAGATTTTTGCTGCCTAGAAGAGTTTTATTGGAGATTCGACGTTCGATTTTATCATTTTGTTGATTTCATTTCAAATGAAACATTTTGAATATGTTCAAAGGTTGAAATAGCAATAAAAAGAAATTGTAAATAAATTTGACTATATCTTGTTCCAACAAGAAAATACAAGTGACGCTATTCAATCAACCTTCTCCGTTCAAAAGGTTCAGAAATGTAAAATGAAATCCACAAAGTAATTGAATCGATAGAGAAATACCTTCATAACCAGCGCTGGCGACATTTTTGGTACCATCCCACGCTTTGTTGGCCAGTTCACTAGATTTGTCAGCGGTGCTCTTGGCCAATTTCGATGAATTATCAATCACTGAAGCAGTGGTCTCCTTGGTTGTTTCGGCAACACTACCAACAATCGATGACGTTTTATCGGCCACTGTATTGGCCACCTTTTCCGTTGTATCGGCGACCGTGCTCAATGTTGACGATGCGGCTCCTTTTGTTGAATTCCATGCCGATTCGCCCGTCTTCAACAGTTTGTCTACAGCATACCAAGAAAATACAGTTTTCCTCAACAATCTATTTTCATTCGATTTTTTTTGCCATTCAATTCATTCAAAAGTAAATTTTTTCATTTTTCGGGTTGCGTTTCATGTGTGGAATATCATTAATTCTATTCCAAACACACAAAATGCAGACAAGAGTGCGTCAATGTTTTTTTTTTATATTGGAAAATCAGGGGAATTTTTTTTTGTTCGGTATTCAGTGAGTGTGGGTTTTTTTTTTTGGAAAATGACAACAATTATAAATAGTAACCTGTGTTTTCTCCAATTTCATTAGCATCGTTATTCAAGTCATTTTTCACACTGACTGCAGCTTCTTCGGTTTCATTAGCTAAATCTTGGGCATTTTGTTCGGCGCTATTTTTCTTACGTCGAAACAGATTGACCGTTCGTTCACCAAAATTTCGAAGCGACGCTACAAAGAAACGATATAATTGATTATGTTTGCCCGTTTGCTCACTTTTTCCAAACATCATTCAATGCAAGTCATGAACACCATCGCGTACTAATCAATATATTGATGAAAACTAACACGCATACATCATCATCATTATCGTAAAATGCTTAACTGGCAGCAATGTTACACATATTATACGAGAAAGCAACAAAATAAACACAAACACACAAAATGCTCATTCCAGTAAATGAGTAATTCTTATGCTTCTTAACTTCAATGTGTGAAGAATTTAACACGTCACCCCAAATAAAAAGTGACATATTCATTGTTTGAGCTCTCATCTAAATCATGCTGACACTTAAAAATTTCGAACTCCATGAACGAGAGCTGAAAAATTCGACGAAAAATCCTTTAAATTAATCTTATATAAAATGCACATGCATGATAAAAGATCTGCTGATAATTCATGTGTTGTTCGCATTTTAAAAAAGGGGAAAAACATATTATTCGGGGTGCAATCAGAATATATGTATTGTCTAGACTCTTACTTGATGTGAAACAATGTAGAAAATATATGGTAATTTGACGTAAAATTAACGATTTATGAAATCTTAATCGTCGTCAATTTTTCATTGTTGAGATTAGATGAAAAAGTAAAAACAATTTCCGTATATTACTGGAGGAAAATGTTAAGCATTTTTTCTTCCCGCAGTCCTTTGAAGCAATGATGTTAAAGATTTAAGATAAATCAGAAACTAAGCCAATCTTTAATATCTCACATCAAGTCAGGCGGCCAACATTTCATTTCATTGTAGCGAGAAAAAAAAAGAGACAGACGGGCGAAAAAAAATATGTGGAAAAATGATTTCTAATTTCAAATGTAAGCTAGCTACTTGAAAATGCAGTAGTGCAAATTTTTCGAAAGGAATATTGGTGGCAGTTTTTGTGTAGAGAAATTCTAATATAATGCAAATGTGTTATTTATGCAGTTTTTTTTGTGTGTGTTGTCTAAATGAAAATGGAAAATATTCGACGCTCTTATATACTCACACATATCTTGAAGGTGAATCGATTTAATGTTCACAACGAACATCGATTTTCCATTTTGTTAAGCAAAAAGGAGATTTAAAGAAAACAGTTGCTTGTTAGTTGTTTGTCTAATCCATCGAAACAAATGAATAAAAAAAAACACTTCGTTCTTTTGGATTAATTTTGTGAGAATGCATGCGAAAGTTTTAATCCGAATTGTAGAAAAACAAACGACAAATCGTCCGTTGCGACAAATTTGAATTTGAAATTATGTTAAAATCAAACACGTCAATTTTGTTAAAATAAAAATGACATACAAATTACCGAAAAACAAACGAATATTCATTGAATTTAAATGTAAACAAGTAACCACACGATTTATATGCCGTCTATCTGGTTTTCAATTTTATTTACGCCGAATTTTTGTTCGACAAGGTGAACAAGAATAAGATAGGGACCTGATACGTAAAGTCATAAATGTGAACCGACGACGATAAGAATTATTTGAAAATGAAAATATGTCCATCGTGTGTAAATAATTAAATTAATTTTTATTCAATTTCAATTTAATCATTAATGCCGAACATTATCATAAAAGAATTGGCCACTACCTTTTCGTTCACATCCAGACTTTTCTATCCACTTGAAATCGTTATTAATGCCATGCAATTCGGTGTACGTCTTTTTTACACTTTATAATTGATCTATGTTGAGTTTTTTTAAAAGAAAAGGTCAATTAAAGTTAACCCATAAATTATAGTAAGTGAAACATATGCTCGATTTCCGATGATATCTTAATTCATCGATGGCCATTGAGCAGAGTGATCGTTAACATTGAGTTGAATTTGAATAAATTATAAATATTTTTTTTGGACGAGACAACGAAAAATGCGCGACATCGCAAAAAAAAAACGATGAAACAACCGATGGCAAGCGTGACGTCACCACCATATCCAACGCTTTGTACATTCATATATAGTATATAATGTATATAATACTAAAAGATTGAACGATTTTTCTCCTTCCGTCATAAATTGCAAATGCGACGCAAAAAGCTGTTTGAATATGAATTTTTATAAAAAAAAAATCAAAATCCAGATTTTTTTTGTTCGATGTGAATAATTGCCAAAGCAACCATATTGTATTTCAAATACAGTATTTGTTTGTTATTGTGAGCTATCGATCTTTCCATAAAAAAATGAATTAAAATCTCCCAATTTTCTCAAGTGGATTAGAGATTCATGCATTTCGTAATTTGGATTGTTTACGGATAAAAATAGATGAAGACATACATACACACACACAGGGAATGCAGGAGAGCAAACTACAGTCTATGGAGTCTCAGTCGAGGCGCACATTGAAAGTGACATCACGCATTGGGCGAGTGTCAGAATGACGTGAAGTGTGTGGTTTTACAGTTTGTTTTATTCATTTGTGATCTACATCTGCGTTGGATCAATCACACTCTATCGATAATCGGGAGGGAAAAGTGAAACGCACCGAATGGCCTAGTATCGGCTTTTAATTAAAACAAAAACAATAAAACATTCAAAAGATATTATGTGGCCTAACCGTGGCCTCTCTTCTTCTTCGTTGTGAGATGGAAAATTGACTTCATGTTGGAAGTGGGTTGTGTTTTTTTTTACTGTAGACCATGGCGTCTGAGAACTATATCACATTGAATATCAACTGAATGTACATTGTCTATTGATTAGTTCACAAGTGTTGCTTCTACATGTTAAAGGTCATGGTCAAATACTTATGGTATTGGTTAAATTTCTATAAACGTAGTGTGCTAGATTCTTGTTGGAATATTCGATTGTTTTCGTATATTAAAGCGTACACATACACCACATGCATACACCAGCCACCGTTTGCTACGCACTTAAAATCTTAATCGGTTATTTTTGCAAAAACAACAACAATGAAAAAAGAACACAAATATACACAATTTTCTTTCATTGTTTGTTTTGAAAGATGAAAACAAAACGAACCAGCCAACGCTTATCTAATATTCATGTTTGGTTGCTTTTTTTCCCATCCATTCAAAACTGAGTGAGGAACAAATATATTTAAAAATTGAAAATAGGCAAAACAACAACAAACATTCATCAAGCTCGCGCGCATCCATTTTCGTTATCGGGTTTTTTTTATTCGTTTCAAACCATGTTTTTATTACATTTAGTGTATGCGCCACCGACCGTATTAAACAAAAAAAAAGTCAACGGAAAAATTTATTAGAAAATTACAATTTAATTACATATATCGATCGGATCGAGAGAATTGTTTTGCGATTGAGAAAATAAAGAGAGAGAGAGTGTGTGAGAAATACACTCAGAGATAGAGAGAGAGTGAGAGAGTAAATGTATAGCTGAGCAAGACGCTCTTTTCATTTTATCAAGCAAAATCAACATTACCTGTAAATGAGCTGAACATTTTTCTGGCAAATCAGTCGTATAACGATGAGAAAATTGAACGGTTGATTCCAATTAATTTCCAGCTGCGATTTTGTTGATGAAATCACGGATTTGATTTGTTTTTTCTATTCTTTTTTTGAATTTTTCTGAAATTGTTCACACACAATGGAAAAAAAAAGATTTTTGTAAAAACGTGCAAAACACTCTCAAAATCATAAACTAATTAACACTCTAAACTTATTATAATTGATATACATTGGCAAAAACTGTTTTGCAATTGGCTAAAGTAAAGGACAACAATAAAAATTGACAACCGAGCAACGAATATGAGCAATTATTTCATCAGTTAAATATGTTTTTCTTTTATTGTTCATTCAATGGCAACTATTCTGTTTCTATTCTTGCGGTGCGTTTTTTTTTGTTTCTTCTTCTTCTTTTTCTCTTTTGCGATTCAAAATGACCGGAATGCTTTGCAATAAGACTGTTCAAACGATTGCGTCGTTCCGCATTCACATCGATTCACTTCGCAACATAAGAGCACCTATTTTGACTCATGATGTTATTTTTGAATACTTTATCCCGTCGTGTCTTTTTTTTCTTCTTCTTTATTATTCATTCTCTTCTTCCTATTTTCTGACTTCTTTCGATCTGTTCTATTCAGTCTATTAAACCGTGTATTTAAGAGTCGAGATCGATTTGACTATATATTTTTGTTCGAGTGTACAATCAAAGTAATTTTGATTTTCATGAAAACAACGGCGACAACGCGATCGAAAAAAGAAGAATCGATATTCACTTCAGACTGTCATTTTTTTTAAATGCTGATTTCATTGCATCTCCCATAGACAATCTCAAATGACATCACGATGAAAAACAGTGCACAAAGAATTGATGATAATTTTATTTGTGGCGCGATTTTTGTGGCATTTTTTTTTGTTGGTATCCTCTATTGTAAACGACATTTTCCTCTTTTAAACCGATTTTCTCTTCATTACTCGCATGCGAATAATATATTTATGAACTTTTTTTGGGTTTGACATTTTCAGGCCGAAAAAAAAAGTCTATCATTTGATTTATGGTAAAATCGTACTCAATGACAATAGAAAAAAGTTATGTAGAGAATGACACCAAAAAAAAAAAAAAATCGACAGAAAAATCAACGAAAACAACTAAACTGAAAAAAAATATACGTTAGCCTCACCGCACTCAAAAAAATATATATCTCTCTGATTTGGTTAATATTCGACGTTCGCACTCGTTAAACTAACAGCTTTAACACAGAATGAAAACAATCCGTTTGATTTGAATATGATCTTCTCTCTCACGTCTATCGTTGGTGTACCACACACACACACACGCGCGCTTAGTGAACACACTCGTGTAATACTTTATAGGTTTGTTTTCTGTTCTTTGGTATTACGTGTTCTTTTTTTTACACAATACAAGGAACGAAAGAGAGAATTGCTATTTGCTTCGCTGTTTGTGTCGTCGTTATTGTTGTTGCTGTTCCTTTTGAATGTATCAGCATTCCATGTGTTTGTGCGTTATATTATTTTTTTCTTTTTATATGTATATACTTGCGGTTGTTACTACTTTTCTGTTTTGTTGGACACTTTGATGTGATTTAGCAAAGTATTGGGCACGCGTTTTGTTCTAATCCAATGCTGTAAAATGTTTGATATTATTTGGGTGTGTATGACTAGAAAAGATGATATTCCATATGTAATGCAGCAATGTGTCGATGTGTGCTTCATCGTTTTTTCTTCAACGGAATGTATGTGCTGTTTGTGTGTCGCAATTGTGGTGTCAGTGTTGTTCACAGCCAGCGCATTCACGGCGACCAACCGACACACATATGAATACTTAACATACACAGCCAGTGTCGGCCAGCCAGCCAACACACATCGAATGACACACGATCCAAGCCATTCCGAAGTGAGTGCGACAACGGTGGATGGCAAGGGCGGCGGCAACGGCAACCGATTTGGTATGAGCAGTGAATAGAATGAAAGACGCAGAAAAGATATGAAACCAGAATGAGACGAGCGAACAAGTATTAAATTACAATTTTTGCTGTTTGTATTTTCGACGTTCGCTCATCGGGCTCGAGCGACAGAAATCCTACGAACTAACATAAGGAAATTCTTTAGCAAATACACTCTCTTTTTTTGCACATTTCGCCTTCATTGTATGCCAACGTATTGTCTATTCAAAATGTTTTGCGGTGTATGCTTTGTCGCCGGAGCAATTACATAATACACACAATTCGCATATTTATAGTGTGTTGAGATATGCAATGACCTACGGCACATATATAAAGATAAAACGGTTGCGTACAGCGAATATGCATGTTATTTCTAAATGGAATTCGAATTTTTCAATGTAGTTGAGAGAGAGAGAGAGAGAGAGAGAGAGAGAGAGAGAGAGAGAGAGAGAGTCTTGTACATATCATATTTTGTCATCAGTCGATGTTGCTGTGGATGATATGCATTTATGACTATTATCATGTCAAATATTCGATAGTAATCAATTTTATGGATGAGTCATGTATGTGCATAAAATGATTCCCATGGCGAAATGAATGCCATCACATGAATGCGCGCTAACGATTAAATGAAACCAATTAAATTTTGTAATTAACATTTGAGTGTTTCTATGATGATACATCGCGATGAAGTAGTTTTTGTCACCATATCAGCGTCAGATGCACGAAAAAAAAAATCGAAAACGAAAATGCTGTTTTGTCGTTGTTCCACAAGTGGTTCACCTTACAAATATGGCTCATTCAACTTCATTAACTTACTTCAGCACAAATGGAATGTGCGTGTTTTTGTTTCGCTGTTTTTTTTATTCATTTGTCGAACTATTTACGATTTTGGTTCCATTTGAGAAATGCGATTGATTATGAATTCGCGTTGACAATTCAATTGAACGGATCAATACGATCTCATACCGATTTTTGTTTTTAGTGTTTTAGCAACTATGAATTCCATGTCAATGCACAGAAATGTGCTTACAAAAATAACCAAAAAAAAAAAACATCGCTTCGTTCGAACTTTAGATTTTTGTTCGTTCTCTCTCTCTCTCTCTCTCTCTCTCTCTCTCTCTTTCTCCTCTCTCTTGCACTCTTCGTCGTAATTGCATTTGTTTTCGTTGTGAATTCGGCGCGAAGTTCATATTTCATTTTTGTGCTCATTCATTTGTTATTTTGTGATTGTGTATTTTTGGTGCGTAGATATTGTTTTGTTGTTCGTGTAACCGTTACAAGTTTCAAGACGCCAACAAATGCGTCGTTATAATTATGAAGAGCACACCGAAGAAAATCAAATTTATAAATTCTTCGTTGCTTGTAAATCACTTTAACTTCGTGTCTTATGGCTTAAATCCATTTTCTGCCAATGAGATCTTTTCACCACCAAAAATTCGATCAATTTGTCGTCAAAAATCATTTGTGATCTTCCCAAGCGAAACCAATGCAATAATTAAACGAACAAATATGATTCAATGAATATTTTTGATGGAAAAAAGAGAAAAAAAATCGCGCACACAAAAACGAATGTCGTCGCTTCGCCAACTTTTCTTTTTAAGTAAACATTAAATTTGGATTTATTCAATCATAAATCGCTCATTGCACACATCAGCACATGCACACTGTGTCATGTAGTTTAATCATAAACAAACGGAACAAATGTATATAACATCCGAAAAAAAAGATATAATAAAGTATAGAGATGAAAGAATGTATAAATAAAGAGGCGATACAGCCGCAAATTACGTTTTTACAATGCTTTTTGTACTTCACTTTTTCGCTCGCTTTGAATATATGCGCCGCATCGAGAATTCCTATAATAAATGTGAAGCATGACATCATACATGATGTGAGAGTACATTTGCTATTCAAGGACGACCCATACAATTCCACTGCTGCCGCCGCTGTTGTTTCTTCTTCTTATTCTGTTCATTTTCAATTTGCGTTCGCATAGCTTCTGGGCTACTCTATTCAGCACGACTTTTATCCGTTGTGTGTATTTTTTTAAATGTTATTTTGCACCGCTTGGATGTTGTACGTGTTTTTCCGCATATATTTCAATTCAATCATGACCGGAATTCAATTTTCGGTATCTTGGTCGGTTTCCAAATTAAATAGATTATGTGCTCTTATTTCATTCAAGCAATGAAGACAGAAAGGCGAGTCGGTAGAAGACTATACATATTTATGATAGGTTGTTTAAAAAGCATAAATCCAGGCGAATTTGTTTATAATATCCAACGATATAAACATATATTTTAGTCATGGCCAACCGATGAGAGAACAAAAATCGGAATAATTTCCATTGAACAATATGAGACGTAATAAAATCGTAATTTCTTATGCAATCTCATAATAATGAAGTAAGAAATCGCATTTTATTTTTAAATAAATGACATTTAAAATAAACAGTATGAACTTATTCACCTTTTCAATACGATAACATTTAACATTGCAATGGAACGTGATTCATGCCGACAAAGTTTGAATTTTGTCTCTCTCTCTCTCTCTCTCTCTCTCTTTCTCTCTCTCTCTCTCTCTCTCTCGCTTATCCACTTTTGTCTATTTGTAGCCCGTGATCTGAATAATATTATTCAACTGTTATCAGTTGCGTAGTACACTTTGGTCCAGAGATAGACAAAAAAGGGCAATATAAATGGCAAGCGGGAGACAAAAATGATGGAAAAATATTCAATAATAAAAAATGCATTTGGCAATGCACGCACTGGTCATGGATTTTATTATGTTCATATAACACAGCGGTGTGAACAGATTTATCGGGTTTTAAGGAATCAGAAAAATTATGAGCTTGTTTTTTTTTGGTATTTTAAATGAATACCGCGCCGCAGTCGACTGTTTCGAATTAATGGTTTTTAATGGTCATGGTTTCATGATTCAGTTTAAATTACTTTGAACAAGTTAAATATGCTTTTGCTAGATGAAACGCTTTATGAATCATTTCAAGTTCAAAATGTCATAAATTGAGTTTAATGATTTGAAAACTAGTCTAAGCGATCCAATCTCACTTGGTGATGTGTGTATATTTCTCTTCACAACACTTTTGAAAATGTGTTTTAAATACTTAAAAAACTTTTAAATTGCTTCAAACTTAGTTTATAATTGAAGAAAGTGATGACCTTTGAAAACTATTAAAAAGTCGAATCTAAATTGAGAATCGTCGGAAGTCTTCTCAAAACGGTCTTTTGTCTAGTTGACTGATTCGTTTTCTCTCTCTCTCGATCACATAAAAATAAATTGCAACAACAATTTAATGTTTGACGTGCATAAAATTCAATCGATGTCGTTTTGATGACTTGTGGGATGGACACCACTTGAATCAGACCATTGGGCCGATCATCATATTGATAACAAACAAGTCGTTTTAATTAATTTAGAAAAACATTTTTATATCAGTTTCAAAAAAATCGTTGTTGTTGAAGTTGGAAAGAAAAAAAGTGATGTTTATCCCCCAGGCCACATGACTCATGTCTCTCGCTTAAAATAGTCGATCACTTTAAACCGTTGATGCGTTTTTTTTTAATTTAATCGATTCTTTAAATGTTAAGGTTGTTAAGGAAGTGCATCACAGTTTCATCGCATTGCTATCGGCGAAAGCACGGTATCTAAATATAACCGTAACCGACTATTATTGGGCAAAGTGTGAATGAACGTTCGATTTATTTGCGTTACATGTTTCGACTCGTGTTGTGTGCAATCAAAAATTTGCATCAGCATTTATAAATGCAAATAAAACACTTTCGATGCTCTGTGTGTGAAGTAACAAAATATCATAAACACGAAAGGAGAGAAGGGAAGAGAGAGAGAAGAAAGAGGAAGCGTTATAGAAATATAAAGAAACGGACATAGTGCGAATGATATAGAAAATGTATGGCGAAAAAAAATATATGCCGTGTCAAAATGAAAAATCATGTCAATGTCGAAATCTGTGGAAAAGTAAATATTCGCCCATAAAATTAACCGATCGCTAACGACCCGCGATATGTCAGCGACTATATTGTTTTCACATTAAAAATGCGCTCAACAACCAAATCGACCGAAATGTCTATATGTTTGGTTTCCATCTATAATTTCTCCTTGTCAGTCGTTGAACCCCCCTCCCCTTTGAATGTAACTATGGTGATCGGTTGGTGTATACATTAGCGACAGTGGCGATTTTCGGTGGTTTAGTGTTTTTTTTTCTTTGTTTCGTTCTTCATAGAATAAAACCTTTACGCCGATAGTTATTAGTTAGAGAAAAACCACACATATTCGAATGAAAACGTGTTAAGGTTAACTGTTGTGTGTTATAAATCGAAACGTACACATATCGAGGGGGACGTACGAATAAGAGCTCCTTATTCATGTATGCATTAATATTGCATACATATATGTGTGTGTGTTTTCCGTTTCAGTTCCTGCCTGCATATTCATTGTTGTTGTTTCCGTTTTCGAATCGGCTCGCGTACACACCAAAGCATATCATTTCATATGAAATATTATTAAATCGATACAAGTGTGAGTGTGGCGTGAGAGCTGAAGCCAACGACAGATTTCCGAAACAAACAAACAAATTCACCCAAAATACATACTCAAACGCATTTTACCAAACCGTTTGTGTTTTTGCATAGTTGTTGTTTTGTTGTGTTGTCTTTTTTTAGGTTCGTTTTTGTTTAAATTTCATTTGATTCGGGCAATTCGCAAACATAATTCAACGTTTAACAGTGACCATTTTGAAAAACTTGATTTACAATGAAAGAGTAAAACGTTTGTTGTTTCGCCTTTTCACTTTTACCATATCATCTTTTCCAACACTTACACATCTCATCTTCACTCTTCCAACATTGAATATTGAGTTTATTTTAGTGATGTCCGTTAAATTGTGATCAAAGTTGCATACACTTGCCGAATGTCATTCACCGAATATCATTATACAAATTCAAATGATGCAATTTAAAGGAATTATCGGAATTTGTTCGAATTCGATTCGAATATTTTTGGTTTTTAAATTGACATTTTGTGAATGAACAAGTGAAGTACAGAACCAAAGTTTAACCGCTTGATACAAATTAAGACCATTTATAAATTACCTACAACGAAGAAGGCGAAGAGAAAATATATATATGAAATTTCAGTGCCTTCCCACATTTTGTGGCGGAAGAAATAGAAAAGCGTACCAAATTTAAAAATTTTCAACCGTTATTCATTGGAGACAAAAATAGCCCCTCTGAAAAATAAAGAATAAGTTAGATATTAAATAAATCTAAAAATTTCAGCGTAAATGAATCGGAATATGATGAATCGCGGTTGCGGGCGGTAGCATGGAATTGGCTCTGCATGGATCGCAGGTTGATAAGAATTTTGTTTACAATTTATTTTTTAGTTTCGGTTTGTTTTGTTCTTTTCGTTTGTATATTTTTGTTGTAAATTTCTTACCTCAATCGTTTCAATTCTCGTTGTTGTTGTCTTTTTTTTCTTTTCTCATTTGATTATGAATTTGTGTACATAAAAATACCCCACAAATGCATGTTCATAAAGTTTCATGTTGTGTAAGAGCGCGCGCGCTTGTGCTTGTGTATTCGCATCTAAGCATGTGGGTTTGCTTGAATATTTTCGGCCCGCTTATTTGCGTGTGTGTGCATGTGTGTGCTTGTGTGCTTTCCATTTTTCTAAATGAAAATCCATTAATTCCATTTCAAAACCCCAAAAAAAGAGACTGAGAAAAAAACATGTACCCAGAATATCAACCGTTTGCTTTGTTGTGGTTCATTTGTAGATTAACCTAGCAACGCGTGACAAAGCAACCGCTGCAATACCTGTTAATTATCCAATATTTATAAAACGTCCAGGTTCGGCGAGTGTCACTTTGACTACACCGAGCGCTCAATTAGCTGCAACGAATAAATTATTATTGGCCCGTGCGCATTCATTGCAGTGTTTGCAACAGAAACAACAAACACCATCGAAATTTTATCGACGCGCTGCGTCCGCCGATTGCGGTAAATATCAGCGAAAATCAACAAACGTGCATCAATCAAAAATTAGCCCACATTTGTCATCACATAAATCGATATGTAATAGTCAAAAGGTTAGTGTTTCAGTTGAAATTCGATTTAAAAAAAAAATCTTTCCAATTGATGAGTTAATAATGAAAATGATGATGAATTTTAGGAAAAACGAGCATTATCTTCATCAAGTTTATACAAATTATTGTTGGCAGAACCGATAAAACGAAATACTTGGATGTCGAGTGAAGAGAGTAAACTTCAATCACCGGCAAATGCAGTCGCCGATGACGGTTCAATCGAGAGTGTGACGAAAAAAAAATTGAGAAACAGTGGCGATGATACATCAGACGATAGCCCATCATCGATTGCTGAAGAGATCGTCGACAATGATAATGATACAGCAAATGACGATGAGATTGATAATTACATTGAATGCGAATCGAAAATCGAACAAATTCCATCGGCTGACAATGCAGTCCGAATATCCCACCAAAATTTTAATTTAAAACGACCAGAAAATGAATTTGGAGAAGAAATATACGATGTTACACCACCGATTAAGCCAAAATCTGCAACGATTCGGCTAAAAAGTAAACCGGATCAAAAACAAAAAACGACTGTGATAAAAGCGAAAACATCATCACCTGTCAATTCGAATAATAAGCTCAAGTTGGCCAAATGCAGTGGAAAACAAGTGTCAATATTACAATCGGATGGCGGTAAAGATAAGAAACAAATGGACACACTCACATCATCTACGATGAATACGATAGAGGGCAAGATAAAACCAAATGACACAAAATCTATTCATACTCCACCCGCATCGATGGCTTCACCCACCACCACCACCACACCTACAACAACCGGCGGCTTTAATACGCTAAAAACCGATTTGCCGGGCCGTGTTTCGTTCAGCAAGAACGACGTATACGAGATTGATTATAGCGATATTGACAATGACACTGACACAAGCCGGAGCTTGGATTTGAACGAACCGTTTCGAAAGAAAAATGTCCATTTCGAAGATGAATACTTTAGCAAATACCATGATGGTCGCACCGATGACACCGAGATGGATGTGAAAAAGCACACATTTAATCAAACACCGATGCATCGAATGAGCACACCAAAAGAACATACTGATACTAGTCATTTGTTAACAGATGACAAAGACTATTCAGCATTAAAATGCAATAGTTTACGATGCAAAGCAGATATGCGACTGGATGTATTGCCGGAGGACAATGAGAATGGTGGCAATGGTAGCGGTGATACGATCATTTCGAAGGATAGATCGGAAAAAATTATCGAAGAATATAAACGTGAAATCGAAAGCATCAATCGACAACATGAGCTCGAACGAAGATGGAATGAGTGTGAAATAAATGGTGATGTCAACACAAACACCACGGCCACTACTTATTCGAACTATTTAAATGGTGTGAACAGTTCACAGCGCACGGAAATGAATGATAGCGATAAAATGGCAAAAGACGAATGGCATTCGGGCGGAAGTGATTCGTGGTCATCACCAAATCATAATTCGACTTCAAATTTGATGAGTAAATCAAAAATAACAAGCGCCAATGGCACGACAAATGCCATAACCACTACAGCTAGTAATACATCGGACGAATCACCGACACGAGATTCGGCCAGCACAGTCATTAACAATTACCTAAAAATCACGAATCAGAAATCATGCAGCAGCACATCAAAACCCGGTTCGGCAACAATTAAGTTAAAAACAACGAAAAAAATCACATCGAATCCAAATCGAAAAATAAAATCAGCACAAACCACTAGCACAACCAATGCTGCCACCGCCGCCGTCGCTGACATAAAATCAACCACATCGAATCGATTGACCAAAGCCAAATCTGTTGGACATCTTCAACGCATCACCGATATTAAGTTAAGCGAATTTCAAATCGATAAAGTTGAAAGTTGGATGTCAACACATGAAGATACATTCAGCGATACTGGATTGAATAGCTATCGAAAATATGGCAAATTTGGCAGCAGTTCAAATTTGGATTATAAGAAAACATGGCGTGAAACACCAACAAAAACGGACGATGAGGGCAATTACAGTTTAGACGATCAAATCGATAATACATCAATGGATGGTTCAATTGGTGGCGGAATCGAACTAGTTCTGAAAAAACTCGAAGGTCGTCGCATGCAAATTTCATTCGGTAGTTCAATTTGGGCGGCGAAATATTAGCTAATTTCAAATGAAATCTGAAATAACAGTGAATTGATTGCATTTTTTTTGTGTTTTTTCTTAATTTTATTGTTTAGATCCGATCAAAAGTTCCACATCGGCACCATCATTATCGGCAAACGGCGATAGTTTTCAACAACAAAAAACCACGTTGAATACCAATTTGAATGAACATTCCAATAAAATCAAGTAAATTATCATTTTAAGGATATTTTTTATTTATTTCTTTAAATCTTTAGTTTAAAACTATCTAACTTTTTATTTGCAGAGAAATCTATCAATACTTGGATGAAGTTGATTACAATTGCCATCGAACCATAAATAATGTTAAACAGCAAAAGATTCCCGACGATTTCCAGCCAGATATTGATTATACCATTGAAAATGATACCGTTAGCAATGTACCAAAGTGAGTTGAAAAGTCGATTGTGTGCGTGTGTGTTAGCAAACAGTAACGTGATTTAATTAAAAATAATCAACATTCAACATAATTTGTGCAATTCAAAGGTTGAGCGACTTAATGTTGTTAACAAATGAACAATTGGCACGTAAGATAATTGGCTTAAGTTTACGAACAAATGAACTTACGAATGCAATACACTTGTCAAAGGAGCACATGGATAAAATCCGCAGTGATAATCAAAAAGCGATTCGCATGGAGAAGCAAATGGCACAGACACGTCTTAAAGAGCAGAAAAATCATTATGAAACAATTGTAACACGTCACCAAGAATTCATTGAACAAGTTAGTTTCAACTACATTTAATTCGTGTTTGAGTTGCAATTTTCCAAACGCAAAAGTCCACTTCAATCTGATCTCTCTCTCTCTCTCTCCTACAAAATGTTCCGTTTCAGTTGCTGAAAGACAAAGCATCATTGTGTGAAAAAGTATCAGGACTAACACGACGCTTGGAAAGTCAGTCGATGGCGGCCGAACATAAATTACAAAATGAAATTCAACGAATTAAAGAAACAGCTTTGGCCGCTGAGAAAATTCGCCGTGAACGATGGGTTCGGGAAAATACGAAAAAAATCAAGGTAATGTCATCGACGTGATTTTCTTTAATGATTTCTTTTGAAATAAAATGAAGATGAAAAAAACAGCACTTATCCGAATCATCTTCATTAATCGCACAACTACTGTTGATTATTTTATTATTGCAGGAGCTTACGGTTAAGGGTTTGGAACAGGAGATAAGCAAAATTACATGTAATCATCAAAAGGAAATGACCGAATTGAAGCGTCAGCATCAGGAGGAAATTCTAAATGCTGTTGAAGAGGCACGACAAAAACACGAGTCACTTGAGATGGGCATTCGAGAAACTTATGCCAAAGATCGTGAAGTGGCCATCGAAAAAGAACGAAATGCCATTCGTGACAGGCAAGTGAATAATAAAATAAGTTTTTGACATACACAATTGTGTTAAAAAAAATGTTGTTGTCATTTTAGATTTGAAAAGCAGATGGAATTGGAGCAAAAAACATTTGAAGACACAAAAAATCGCATACTTACTGAATTTACCGCGGAAAAAGAGCGATTGCTCAAAGAAGTTCAGCAAAAAGAACATGAACTCGAGATGCAACGTGACAAATTACTCAAAGATAAAAAAGAAATGGCCGAACATTTAAATCGAGAGTTCAACGAAAAAGTTCGAATGATCGAAAAACGGAATCAAGTGAGCAGAATTTTGATCTTTGCTTCGTTAACCATTCTTCATTACTTTTTTACCTTATTTGTTTTTTTTTTTTCAATTATTTTTGCATTTAATAACACATTATTTATTTTTTTATTCGCCAGTGTGAAATTGATTCAATTAGCAAGCAATTTGAATCGGATTTTGCAATCTGGAAACGTGAACAGGAGACAACATTTAAATTGCGTCAAATTGAAGAGTCGAACAATATTCGTCAGCAATGCCGAGCTGAACGTGATAAACAAATCGATTCAATTGTTGCCAAAATTGATGAAGAGACACTTCTGCATAAGCAAGACTTCGAGTCGAAAGTCAAGTAAGCTGATAGGGCATATTTTACTTACCGTTTTTTTTTTTCAAGCTGAAATCATAAACAAAAATCAATAAAAAAAAATGTCAATTTTTCGTCATTGTCGCTAATAGCCGATTAAAAAGTCAACACGAGAACGAATTACGTGAAATGGAACGAACAGAAAGACAAACACGTGAAAAGTACACGGAAACACGTTCAAAATTGGCTCAAGTTGAAGCTGAAGTGAAAAATTTGCATGCTACTGTAAATCAACTAGAAATTCAACTTGGCCACTCGCAAAAAGTGAGTTTCATTCAAATTCAATTGAATTATAGAGACATAGGTGATAGTGAAATTTTAAAATGATGTCACTTGATTATTATTATGTACTCTTTGAAATCTTCCTTATGAAGAAGAAAACAAAAATAATAATGCGTTGGAAATAATATGACTTTGTTGTTTCTAAAATAGATGTGTGACAACTTTTTGACGGAAAAGGAACATTTCAAAGATGCGGTGCGCAAAGAACGTGATGAGGAAATTCAGGACATTCACAAACGTGTACAAAGTGCCATCGAAAAGAAAGACGAATCACTGGACGTGATTATCAAAGAGAATACATTGCTCAAAGATCGATGCATTAAATTGGAAGCGATAGTTCGACAACAAAGAAAAGATTATTGCATAAAATGAGAAACTTAAGTCTCTTGTACAAAATGTCTTTGTATATTTCAACATTGAAGATTTTTAACGCTTTTATCGTTTTATTTTGTAGTTTATTTCTTTGACGATCAAAACGACTAAAATTATGATTTATTGCCGTGAAAAGTGTGAAACCACAAAGTTGCGGGTTTTTTTATATCTTTCTATGCCTCTCTCTCTTTCTCTATCCCTCTCTGAACAGATATAATAAAATGTGCTCAATTGTTTGTATTGCAAAGGGCTGGAAAAAAACTCACTGCCATTTTAGTAAAGTGAAATGTTGATTGAGTCGAATTTGTAGTGGTGAAACAAAACGTTAGCTGGTGACATTCTTTGTTGAGAAGATCGTATTGGGCGAATATTGTGGTTTTTTCATACAAAACCAAAAATAAACCTAATAAAAACATTGATTTTTTTTTTAAATAATGATTCATATAGTTCAAACATTTCCGTAAATCAAAGAGTTTTATTACATCGAATCGATTTCATAGTAAACACTGTATGAGTAATAATCACATTTTTGAGAGATACGCATTGAATAAAGAAGAAATAAAAAAGAAGAAATTCGTTGAAAGAACAAAATGTAACATATTTATTTCAAAACAATAATAAAAAGAATAATGAATAAAAGATGAAGTACAAAAAAAGAGAAGAGAATAAAAAAAAAAGAAATCACTTGGCTTTTGGAATGACGTTGCCATCGGTTTTAATAGAAAAACGGATGTTCTGGAATGGATTGTCTTGAATTGCCGAACGTTCTGTGACCATTGTCTTTTTCACACGAATCTGTTCGGGATATTTATTTGTTGCGCTGTGCAAATCCTTCGAAAATGATACGATGGTCTTTTGTTCAAATTGTTTTGTCTCATATTTGCCGTTGATGGTCGATGTAGTTTCGTTGACAGTGTGCACCGTTCTTTCGAAATGATGATCAACCCGATCGTTGGCTGCAACCAAAGGCCGTCCCAATGGACCGTACGTTGCGTTTTTATTCAGAGTGACGGTTGTAACACCAGGTTTCGTTTGATTCATCATACGTGGACTGTTCAATGTGCTGTATTTTCCATTTAAAATTGGAGCCACCGCAGTTGGTTTGCTTGACACTTCAGAATTGTTTACTGTATTTTTCAGCCCATTTAATTTCGGAGTGGTTTGTTCAGGTTTTTGTTCGAACAAAGCCTTCTTATTCGCTACATTGGCAAATGAAATGCCATTCGTTTCGTCTACAGATGATTTCTTAACATTTTCGGTAATTTTTTTATTCGGCAGTTGTTGATCTGCACCTTTTGTCGTCGGAATATTCTCAAATTTCGAAATAAGATCGGTTTTCTGTTGCAATTTTGGTGATGGTTTTGATGGGCTATCATCGACAATATTTTGTGTCTTTATCAAAAAGATAGACTTGCATTTTTCAACTTGCGACTCAGCAGAATTGGGTTCGACTGTGGGTTTGGCACTTGATTTATAGACGGTCGTTAGATTGTTTGTTTTTGTAAAGAAACTAGGACGATGTAATTTTTTCGTTTCGTTAATTTCAGGTGATTTAATTTTCGTTTTGAGACTAGTTGATTCGTTGCCATTTATTGGTTTAATTTCCTTGGTATTAATCATAAAATTCGGTTTACCGTGACTTATTTTCGGCTTTTCGTTCGATTGTGTTTTCAATGCAGTCGACGATTTTGCATCATATTGAACATCTGGTATCTTTATGCCGGACACAACCGATAAAACAGCGTTTACATTCAATGGCTTTGTGACGTTGGTTGTGTTTGCGATGGAATGCGATGACTCATTGTTTTTATTGCTAACATTAGCGTTGTTTTCGTTGTTGTCATTGTAAGTGGGATACTCGTACTTTGGAGGCTCGTTAATCACAATGGGCTTTCGACGTTTCAATGTGCTTGTCAGTTCGGCTTGCAACAAGTCTTGCGTTTGCTTCTTCAATTTATCACTCGCTGATAATTCCTACGTAAAATAAAATATAATTAGAAAAAAGGGGGAATTTCCTCTTTGAAAGAAAAATGCCTTATCAACATTCGACTTAATATTGAGCTAGCCAGATAAAGAAATTGAACTTTTTTCTTTTCGATCGAAGTTTTTTTTAATGTGATACGTACATTATGGTTTGAATCATTCAAGTTTGGTGCTTTTTTTAGCGTGGATCCCTTGCGAATATCGGCCAATAGTTGAGATCGTCCATTTTCTATTCCATTGAGCATTGGTGGTGGAGGAGGTGGCGGTGGCGGTGGTGCTGCCATTCCAACAATTGATGATGATTCTATCGTCGAATTCATTTTAATTTTTTTTTATTGCAAACAATTTATTTCACCAATATATTCACAAATTAACACTGTCTATTAAGAGTTACTGACTTGTAAGCGTTTCTATTGAAACGAAAAAAAAACTTGCTTAATTTAAAAACCGTTTGAATTATCGAAATAAATTAAGCACCAACGACTGTATGAGTATTTTGACTATTCTTTTCAATGCAATTTTCGTGGCTTGCGTTGTTTATATATGTCTCTGTCTCTATTTGAACTACAAAAAACCAACTGTGTTCACTTTTTTTTTGGAATAAAATCCAAACATTGGATGATTTGTTTTAAAACAACGACTTTTTGGATTATTTGAGGCTCTCTATCATTCAATAAATAGTAAACAACTGACGAAACAATAAATCACTCTTCGAATCGTAGATTTTTGCTCAATTTTTAAAATGTGATACACACAGTATTTTTCCCACCAAAAAAATTCATATTTTTCAACCAAATGAAAACCGGTGTGATTTTTTCAACTGTTTTTTTTTGGAGAATTACAAAAGAGAAATACTCGAAAATTCACGCGCGTCAAGTGACTAAGTGTGGACGCTTCACTATAAACATCAGAACTGATTGAACATAAAATAATATGAGTAGAAACTGAAACGCTCTCACGCGCGCGCTTCAACAACACACATTGCCTGAATACAATTCATTGGATATTAACCGATCAAGCGATGAATCATCAAGCGATGATGTTTATGTTGTTGTTGTTGCAGCTGCTCATACACTGTTGTGCTTACTGCTCAGTATGTGAAATATATTTCTTTTTTCTCCAGTGACTACGACGACGACGCTTTTTTTCTCTCGTTCTGTTGTTATAGTCGGTGTTGTGTCGCGAATGCCGTCGGATTGCAAATTTGTGGCTGTTGGGTACTTTTTTGTTGTTGTTTTTATTATTTGCCGTTTCGAATATATAAACTCACACAAAAATGACGTGATCAGCAAATCAACATGATATGATATATGTATATATCATACACAAGTACAAAAGCCCATTTGAATCATATCGTATCAACAATTCAACATCCATGCCAATTTGAACGTGAGATGATGCGAACACACTTACAGAATATTTTTCGTGAATATCAATTACTTTCTGAAAATGTATGCCTTTATTGTTTCTCTTCGTTCAGGCATGCACACACACACACGCACACATGATTTGGGATGCAATTTGCATCGAATATTTGCAAAATTGTCGGAGGCATTGATTTCTCGGATTTCTCAATGATTTGATTCGATAGCTAAATTAATTTCATTGATAGAAAATGATGATTTTTGGCTAAACAAGTGAATTTTCTCTGAATTTAGAAAAAAACAATAACAATTACATTTTTTTCGTTGTTGTCTATTTCGATCCGAAAATGATTTCTCTCTTTTCGTATTTGAAAACGACAATTCACATGACCTCCAAAATGAAACTGGAGTATTCGATCAAACAAAAGTTACCGACCGAACTTACATATATGTTCTATTTTGTTTATTTTCTTTCTTTCTCTCTCTCTCTCTTTGTGTCGGCACAAAATTGTGCAAGTAAATTGTGCGACACAACATTTATAGACTTCATTAATTTTTTCGTTGTACATTAACTGAATGTCAAGTGTCTATTTTCAGGTAAAAACGTTTTGTTTAATTGCACATTGTTAACATTGCAAATTATTGCCAAAAAGGAGACAAATATAATATAATTATAACCATATGCGCGGTCGTTAATTCATATGCTCGCACAAACAAAAATGACAACAGCCGAAAGCAAAAAAAATTAAGTCGTTTCCAACATGATGAAACGGTTGCCCTCGAAATATCATATATCTGACTATAAACGGTGACCGAACCGATCACCATATGTACAAGGAGATTAATGATTTATAGTCGAAACATTACACACAGTGCACTAAGCAAACGCATAATGGAGCATTCAAGTCACACTACGATTTCCGTGTATAATTGCTATTTATCTCACAAAATCGATGAGTATCTTGTTGTTTTGTTTTATTTTATTTTCGTATGATGTAAGGTCGTAGGTAGTACGTGATTCGTGCGTATATTTTATTCAATATTTGATTGTTTTATTTAAATTTTAATGAACTAAGACTTGACCAAAATAACACATTAAATTAGTTGTTTTGTGGACACCAAAATTTTTTGTGTGTGTTGAAATGCGATAAAATCTAATAATTTGAAAAGCATTCTTCGATGTTTTTGCAACTTTAATTGATTGAAAGTATACCATTCATATTCATAGAGTCAACAATATTTTAACGTGGCAATTTCATTGTATTGTTTTATTTATAGACATGCTAATTAATCCGATGGATTCATCTAAATTAATCCGGAATAAATAGAGGTAAATCATCTTTGTACTGAACGGCTAGTCAATTCTTTCTGTAAAGAAACAGAGTTCAATGTTCAATGAGCAAGTGATGATTTTCGATCTTTGCTAAGAGACAAACGAGAATCATTATTTCCATTGAATTCACAAGTTTTAACGGCATCATCCACCTACGCAACGATCCTGAGAATTAAATAATCTCCAAAATAACGATAAATTGCTTGAAATTGGTCAGGTCGTATTATCCTCCGTTGTATTTCTTTGCCGAGAATTTCGTTCCGGGATTCTCCGGGACACTCAATGATGAAGAGCAAAAAGACCCATTTTTCACATGAAATGTGGAAATTTTCATCTTGTTTCTTTGATCCATTTCAGACACCAGGGTGAACACCCTCAACTTACCCCTACCCTCTGCACACTACTATTTTCAATATATCTATGTATACCAGACGACTTTGCTTTTTATATTTTTCGAATCGACTTCTTTTTGTTATTTAAAATACTCCACCGTGTCATGTCATTGTTCCAAAAGAATGTGTTCAAAAATATTTGCTCGATCGGGTCTTTGACATGCCATATTGATAAGAATCCCGTCGATAATCGACTGGTGTCAATATTATTTTATTAAAATTTCGTTAGAAAATTATCATCTCTTGTTTGTGTTTAAATAGAAACAAAATTTATTGTGTCTTTTGCCATTTATTTTGCTCGATTTTTGCTAATACAATTGCTGCTTAACATCGATGCAATTATATCTAATCTTATCTGTTGTTATCATCGTTTACCTACTAATTTTAACGACCAAAGAAAAAAAAAGTTGCGCCTGTAAAAACACCGCTCACAACATATATATCAAAAAGTTCTTAATTTACTACAGTATTTACACATATATGACATAGTTTCAACGTTGTTTTTTTTCTCTCTCTCTCTCTCAGAACTGCCATCATTAATTTTGTCCAACTAAAAATTTGGCCAGAAATTGTGGTGTTTCGCCCTTTTCATTTTTCCAATAATTTAAAAGATGCGATCGGTCCTTTTCCATAAAACAAATCTCCTTCAATTCCAATTGCTTTTTAATCGCTAACGTATCAATTAGACGAATGTCGGTGAGATATTTTTGTTTCATAAATTCATCATGTAATTTAGAGCGGCATTGACTGGTCGTTTGTGGCAAATTATAGTCATCCACTAAAAATAAGAACCATTGAAGTTTTTTTTTGGTTTCGGTACATTTATTAGCACGCAATAAACACTTACCGATGTGGGGAATCTGTCGATACCAAGTTTTATATAATTTAATGACACGCCGGCGTGCTTCGGCTTTGCTGGTCGACCAAATCGGTTGCACTTGTCGAATGGAAGCAGGCATTGTTTTTGACGATTGAAGATAAAAAGAAAACAAAATTCTTTTCGTTTCGGTGTGATTTAAGAGTTACATCGTAACCAAAACACCAAATACAAAGTGTCAAACGATTGAAGTGAAGTTGCCTAGTTTCGGGCTGTCATTGAACTGTCACCTACCACATTTTTTTTATTTTTGTCATGTATGTATGTTGAATATCATTTTAAAAAAAAGACAGTGTAACAACGTTTTATATTATGTATTGTGTGCATCTTTGTCGTTATTCTTGGAAAATAGATAGGAATAGCGTCAACTCAGCGATTATTGAAGCAATGCACTTTTTACGATACACAAGCAACGATTATTTCGACGACGATGTGTCTTAATTATCACTTTGTATGGCTATTACTGTGCGATATTCGGGTCATGGGTCATCTTGAGTCGCTGATAAACTAAAAACACACATCGCACATTGAAAGCGATGAAATTTCCTTTGAATAAAATACTGATGTCATTCAGAGAGTATTTGATTTTGATTGTGGAAGGCAAAAACGTATGAATTTCATTCAAATTTCTAAGTGATTCGTCGAATTCAAAAATCATGGCAAATATTCTAAAATTTGCATTGAATTTGTGCTTTTTGTTGGTTATCATAAACGAATGCAATGCAGGCCATTGTATCCGGCCCAAAAATCTAAAACGAAGCATGAAAAAAAGCGGAGACGGTGGATATCGTGTATTCATTGATGGACAACCGAAAGGATATCAATCAGGAAAAATTTATAATGGTAACAAACATTTTTAAAACTTTCATTTCTTTCGAATCGTTCTAAGGTTTTTCTCGTTTTGATTTTATAACAGTATTTTTGGTGGCACCGCGTGTTAATAACGAATATACGAAAGAATTTACACAATTTCGTATTTATGCACGCTCAGCTGTAAGTGCTGATCTGTTAAAACCACGATCCGCAACAATGAATCCCCGTCGCGTTGGTCGTTTTCAACTATTCGACGATCCAGCCGCTGAATTTAATGCTGATTGTGTGAATACAATTAAAGAGACTGACACAACACAAAAGTCAGAAGTTCAATTCATGTGGGTCGCACCAGCGTCTGGATCTGGTTGTGTTGCCATTTCGGCAATGGTTTATGAGAAATCACAATCATGGTATGCAGACGGTGAACAGCTTACGCAAATAATTTGCGAAGGTGAACCAGCCCATGGCGACGTAGCACAAGAATGTTGTGCTTGTGATGAAGCAAAATATCAGGTTTTATTATTAACTTTTTAGCTGTGTGAAATTTAAATAACAATCAAGTTTTCTTTATTTTTTTTCAGTTGACATTTGAAGGAATTTGGTCGAATGAAACACATCCACGTGATTTTCCATTTGCCGTTTGGCTAACACATTTCTCCGATGTGATTGGTGCATCGCATGATTCGAATTTTTCATTTTGGGGTGAAAATCATATCGCCACCGATGGTTTCAAGCAAATGGCCGAATTTGGTTCCGTTCGCCAATTGGATTTTGAACTTCGTGCAAAAGGACCCAGACTTCGTACACTTATCAAAGCGGCCGGTTTATGGTATCCAAATGTAAATACAAACACATCGGCCAATTTCCGTGTTGATCGTATTCATCACAAAATGTCAGTGGTATCAATGTTTGGCCCGTCACCCGATTGGGTTGTCGGCGTAAGCGGATTGAATTTATGCCAAAAAGATTGCACATGGAAAGATTCACTTGACATCGATTTATATCCATGGGATGCTGGCACTGATAATGGCATCACTTATATGGTATCATTTTTCATATGACCCAATTTTTCTTTTGGTGCAAAAAGGTAATATTTTCTTGTGTCTGTCATTTTTAGTCGCCCAACTCGGAAACATTCCCACGTGAACGAATGACACGCATAACCACAATGTTCCCAGAAGATCCGCGTCAACCTTTTTACAATCGATATTCATCGGAAATGATTCCATTGGCACGATTATATATTCGAAAAACAAAAATAGTACCGCGAAATTGTGACGATCAATTTATACAATCGCAAGTTTTAGACGTTTCCGAAAATACCGAAGATGAAGCATCACGACGTAAGTGCAAATGGTTAAATTTAAAATAATTTCAAGTTTGTAATTATTTGTTTGGTTTAGCCGAATGCACTGTTTCTGAATACACACAATGGACACCGTGCTCGGCCTTGTGTGGCAAAGGAATTCGAACCCGAACTAGACACTATCTTAACGAAAATCAAGCAAGGGCAGCCGATTGCAATCGTCAGTTGGTCAGCAAAGAAATGTGCGTGGCTGCCATTGCAGAGTGCAGGTAAGACAATTCATTCCGAACAACAGAAAGGAATCTTTTTCAATTGGCAATCATTAAAGGTCGGAGGATGACGATGAAGGTGAAGAAAATTTGGGCTTGAGTGCAGCCAATGTCGATGCGGCTGGAGAAGGTATTGGCGTGTGTCGTACAACACCTTGGACGGAATGGTCACCGTGTTCGGCCACATGCGGAATTGGTATTTCAATGAGAACACGAGCATTTGTTGAGAATTCGGGACGTAAGAAGTGTCCGCATGTTAGCACAGGTATTTTAAGCGATTGAATTTGTCAATTAGATGAATTTGACAGTTACAGAGCTGTTATTGGCACTTATTCCATATAATTAGGTGCGAACAATCTGAATACAAGAAAGAGCTTTAAATTTCAAGAAAAGTTGCCGCATCTCTGCGGTGCTTATAACAGCTCTGAACATAATTTTCAATTATTTACCAAATTTTCTTTTGTTAGTCGAAAAAAATAAATGTATGCAGCCCGAATGCTCTGTAAATGACATCGAAGTGCCGGATCCACAGTGTCCAGTGACACAATGGAGCGATTGGTCACCATGTAGCAAAACTTGCGGTGAAGGTAAAAATGGTGTGAAATAAAATCACAAGAGCATTTTTGTTGAACCGTATTTTTCCATTTTAAGGTGTTACCATTCGTACACGCTTGTTCCTTGGCGATGAATCAAAACGTGGAGAATGTGAAAAACGTAAACAGTTCCATCAACAGCAAGTATGTACTCAAAACCAACAATGCACCATGAGTCGCAACGAAGCTAAAGGTAACGAAGAAAAATTTATCTCAATAATGATAAACTATCTAACATGAATTTTTCATGTCATTCGATAGAAATGTGTTCATTGCCAGCTGATGTGGGACCATGCCGTGGAGTTTACGATCGATTTGCATTCAATCGTCAACAGAACCGTTGCATTCCATTCAACTATGGTGGTTGTCGTGGAAACAAAAATAACTTCTTCTCGCTTGCCGAGTGTCAAAAGACATGCCAAAATGTCTTTTAATTTACATAAAAAAAATGTATACTCTTAACAATTTATTTGTCTATCAAAACGATTTTTTATTCAAATAAAGTTACAAAGCATTTTAAATGGCTTAAAAAGTATGTTTCTCTTAAAATAAATTGCACTTATTTTTCATCTAATTTGTTGCTGTTTTTATGCAATTGGAATGAGAGCCAGCACAAAAATCCAAACGGAGAAAATGTTCATCGGATACGATTGAATATGAACGGCAAGTGCAAATTCAACCTTTTGATCGGAATTTAGATAAATTTCGGTGGCTTTGACTCGTTCGATGATTTTTGAAATGCTAACATACGGCATATTCATTGGAAAACCGCTAATTTTGTACTTTGCTTGCGTGCTCTCGATTAATTTATGTGTGTACATTTTTTGTTCAACACCAAAGCACTGATCTTCTTCAAGGTCTTTTAAAATTTGTAACATTATTTCTGTATATCGTTTGTTCCAAACGGTTTTACGTTCCATGCGCCAACTTCGGAATTTCTTCATGATTTTCGTTTCAATGGATTTCTTCAAATTGCCACAATCCAAACTGTCAGTGTATTTAAGTGTGAGATCATGTGCTAAATCATTCGGTGCTGGTGTTGATTTAGTGAATAATTCACGCCATTCCGTTGTTTGGCTTGTATCGAAATTTTGCATAAAAACTCGTTGCTCACGTTGAATATTGGCCCAAACATTTTTCGGATTAACAATGCAATAGACTTTCATCAGTGCACAAAATGTATCACGGCTTGAACATTTTCGTCCCGAATGTGGATCGATTAAAAAATATTCATTATTCTCTTTGGTCAGTACAAATGTTGTGTCACCATATGGAATAGCAAATCCCATCACTAAATATGCATTAAAACCAAGCGACAAATAAAAGCATGTCAACAATACACCCAAATCCTTTGGCGATGCGATCAAAATATTCAAAATTTGCTGTTTGAAATGAGGAAGAAAACATTGATCTATTAACATTTTTTTCTACTTACTGATGATGTTTTGTTTTTGTTACAATTTACTTACATCATTCGTCAACCAAACACCATTCAATTTTGTGCACACATTTTTGTGCGGTCGTACCGGTATCAATGAGACAAACCGTCGAATCATATATTCAGACGTTTCATTTCGTTCGAATGGAATATCAATGGGACCAATGAGACGGGTTATACAGACCCGTTTACCATTGGCCAAACTTATTAGAGGATCTTGAGCACGGTGTGGAAATTCATCAGCTATTTCGGACAACCATAGGTCAATACGATTTTTTATCGCCGTCAATTCAATGCACTCCAAATGTGATGTGGAAAAGTGGGTAATTTCAATGATGGGCTCGATACTGATTAGCAATGAAATTAAAATTGATTGACGCGTTTCAAGCACACCGCCATTCGATTCAGGCCCATGATCTGATAAATTCACCGCTGGTTTTGTGTAACCCAATAGAATCAACGGAGTCATCATTTCAAATGTACCTTCGATCTGAAAGAGTGTGCAAATCGTTTATCTGCGTTTTACTTAAAATTGGTAAGATGGTAAAATGATACCCTTTGGCTGGCATAAATTGTACTGAATGGAATCAATAATTCGCCCAAATAATGACTGGATATTTTTTGGTAAATCTCAGATGTCGGTGTCATAAAATTATCATTCGATGGTATGTCTTCGATGAGTTCATCGTACATGTGAAACCAGAGTGAATCCTTGATTTGATTAATTCCCTCACTGAAAATATTGGAACGAAAATCATGTTTTTTTTTTTTTCTTCATAGAAACGGGCGCTGTAATGTGCACCGGCGGAGGTGCGAGCACTTTTCTTGTAAGTGCTACTCTTTCTTGTATTTAGGTTCGGCACTTGAAAAAAATATATGGAACAAGTGTGAGTAGTCATTGGTGCCCGCACGTCTCCGATGCTAATAACAGTTCTGACGAAACGCCAAAGAACTCATCTCACTTGATTGGAATAACAATTTGTTCGTTCCATGTGGGGCTTGATCCATCAACCGTTGATGTTCGTAATGTCTTATCGCGAAAAGTGGCGGTCACAAATGGTCTTACATTGGCATGACGTTGAACTGAAACATAAAAGTAATTTTTCTTTTTGATATTGTTTCTAAACAAAAAGCAGTCGATTCTTACGATTTTGCATTGTCGAACCCAAACTGGTGCGTCTATTGACAATAACTTCGTTTGAATTTCGATAGGGTATTCCGCTGGCTCTGACTACATTTATTATGATATTAAATCGATTCACCCGATCCTCGTGAAAATTTGATTTACGAAACAATGTTTTGCGATGTGGATTGAGTGGTCGTCTTGGGCTGAAAATATTCGTAAATGCTTCGATGGCACCATATAATGTTGGTGGCGTATCGCCGATCAATAAATCACGATGCTCATAGCTGCGATTAATTACTTCACAATGATTTGTAATGATGTCGTAAACATGTTTCAAATACTTTTTGCCCTGATAGCGTTGCACATCGATCGGATCGACCCATAGCATATCTTCGAATATTTTTAAATCGACTGGAATCTCAATTTCAACCTCATTATGCGGCACAAGTTTACAATCTTTCAGCTTCAAATCGCTATTGAAACGTGCATTCAACAATTCAATTCGTTTGTTATCATTCAATTTTTCACGATCACAAAATGCGTATGTGTCTTCATTTAATCGGAAGAGATTTTGCTTCGATTGCATATCTTGTTGTGGTTGATGTTTTACCGATGTTGATTGAGTTTTTTCCATTAGCGAAACAAGTACACGATTATCGGGATCCATTGGATCAATTAACTGATCGGTATACCATTGACCAACCGTACCTTGAGCGGGTGTTGCTTTTGATAATGCTTGCGATGCAATTGAAATACGTTCCGGTTCAAGATCCGTTGATGCCCATCCAATCGAACACACAATTTTACCAACATATTTTGGACTTTCGAAATGAATGGACGACAACACAGTCGGTAGAAATGTTTCTGTTTCATTTGGTGTTTGGTAATGAGTCTCAGCAATTCGCCATGGAATGGCCAAGTTTGTTTTTTCAAAAATCTGTAAATCAAAGAGATTTTCATTATATTTGAAATTAAAACACAAAAAAAAATATTTTTTCAAATGGCACCTGAAATTTTAATTGATTGGAAATTCTTGTGGTAAATTTTATGGAATAAATGGCATTCAAACTGGCCTGTCCGACATTGTTTAATTTTGTACTTTCCGGAAAGTCCAAATGGCCATCGTCGAGAATCAGTCGTACAATGTATTTTGGTGGACTTTTCATGGTCGCTGTATTGACATTCTCCAGTTCAAAATCGATAATTTGTTCGTCTGGCGGACGCATTGAAGCGGCAAATATCGCCAAAAGTTCTTGTTCAATTTTTTTTGCATTTGGTTTAACAATCATGGTGGCATTTTCTTGGTCATCATTTTGAATGGCAATGTCGGACTTGGAACCACGTTTGCCATACAGTTTTCGTTGGGCTTTTTGTTTGCGATACAATTCCATTGCTTCTTCCATCATTTCATGATGTTCTAATTCAAACTTTTGACTCCATTCGTATTCGTCGTTCTCAACATCTGGATTGCGTGCTTTAATTATCAATTTCAATGAAGTGCTCGGAACTGATACTCCATCTCTTGACTTCTTCAGTTCGGCCCATTTTTCAAGTATTCTTTTCATAAGCGTACGATATTTTGTGCTCTCAATGTGCCATGTTGAGCGCAACTCTTTCAATTCGTCTCGATGAATTTGCAAATGATCGACGGTTGTTTGTTTTTTGCTATTTTTTCTCACCGTATCGAGAAGTTGGCGTAAAATTTTCAATTTCGTTTCAATTTTCTTGAGAATATCATTTTGTTTCATTGCAATATATTCATCGTGCAGCGATTCAAGTTCTCTGGCCAATTTTTGTTCATTATTAAATATTGGATGTACATCGAAGTCAATGTGTTTGATGTGAATTTTTAAAATTCGATCTTGAATTGAAAATGCGTCCAACTCCAGACAAACACTACTCGGTGGATAATCGATGGGATGAAATTTTTCCGCACAAAATGTTTTTATGAGTCGTCGACTTAATGTTAAATTACAAAGATTTCGAATTTCTTTCTGATCAAAATCATACCAATGCAATGCACCTTCTTCAGTCAATCGATTGATAAATAGTGCACGATTCATGGTCCAAATGTTTGGCTTTGATTTCAAAAAATGTCCTTCTTCAATTAAATTTCGTTTGAATTTCACATCACCGCTTTCGACGTCCAGCGGAAATTCTTTTGGCAATGTTAGTTTGGGCATGTAAATTTGTTGATCATCAAATAAAATAGTGGTTCGTTTATCAAATGGCACGACAAGCGCTTCAATTTCATCATTCAAATAAGATAGTGCCAATTGTGGTCCATCTTGATAATTTTCCGGTGGCATTTCAGGCGATGGCATAACATCAATTTGATCGACATTTTTTGGTTCGTCGATTTTTTCCACCTCTTTTATGTCATCCACTGATAAATTTGATGTGAAAAACTCAATTGCACGCTCTTTTTTAAGCGTAAATTCAGTATCTTTGGTTAAATGTTTCAATAACATTGCCGTCTCGATTTCCACATCTTCGTTAATGAATTTTGAATTAACTTTGGGCGAAAATGTTCGCTCTTTATCATTCTCTTCGATTTTATCATCGACAGACTCATCATCGTCCACATCTATGGGATTTGAATCGACTGTATTTTGGGCTGGTACCGATCGCTTTTGACGACGTCGACGCCGACGACGATTTTTCTGTGCAGCTGTCAACATTTTTCAAAACTGTAAAATTTTCACAAACAACAATTTTTCATTTTACACAAATATTCCTTTCTTTCACTTGTCTGTTTGATCTTCAAACGAAATATATACAACACATTCATCAACAATGTAAAAACAAGTTTGTTTACAAATTGAAGAATTGTTTTGTTATTGCTTGTCCCGTTGCTATGGAAAATAGAAGGAAACATTTTTGGCATTGCTATGTAACGCATGTTATGACACTTCCTCTTCTCACGGGGAAATACGCTTGTTGATTGCAATGGAGACGGTTATTTCGATTTAAACAATTTCAAAAAATTTATTGTTTTTTTCTTCTTTTTTATAACTCATAAAATGTACGCCCTGAAATACATCGATTTGCGCAAACAATTCCACATTTATTGATTCATTCAACAATATTACAATAGAAACAATAGAAATATTTGAAATTTTTTTTGCAAACCACAAACCAAATCTATGAAAAAAGTAAACACGGAAAAATTCTGACTTATTTTTCGTTTTGTCCATCTCTCGTGCGCAAATATTTGGATATTCAAGAACACTTTTTCAATATTATGGCTTAGAAATTTATAGTTTCAATGGACTATTTGCTATATTCATTTGCACCGCAAAAATTTATCGTGTGAATCATTTCGAAGATTCGGTTGCCGGCGGTGTTGTTGTTTTGAAACGGTAAACGTACTCACAGAAGACGTCAATTGTAACATTTGTGAACTCTGGTAGTAATTTACTAAATTACCACCATTACAATGTGCGGCATGGTGATTTTTGTATGTATTGTATTTGCTTTGCTGTGACAGCGCTGTACAGTATTACCACCAACACTGCGTTGAGCGATAGTTATATTGCTCAGCAAAGCAAATACAATACATACAAAAATCACCATGCCACACATTGTAATGGTGGTAATTTAGTAAATCACCACCAGAGTTCACAAATATTACAATTGACGTCTTCTGTGAGTAGAGTATATGTATATACTCTATATTGATATATCGATGCTTATCTAAAACAAAATTGTTTTGATGCGGTGTGTCATTCGTGTGCTTGTACGCTAGACACCATATGTTTTACGCTATGCGCTTGAAATTCTTTGTCGTTGACGGAAGAAAGATGACAAAAGACAGAGAGAGAGAGAGAGATAGAGAGAGAGAGAGGGAAAGAGAGAGAAATAAAAATAGTAAAGAAATTTTATCGCTTATTTGATTATTTAAGTGTTTTCAACAGACATTATATTGAACGATGGTGAATTATTTTCAGGCAACTGATTCAGCTCAGGTAGCTCACGCCAGGCGCTGGAGTGGAGTGAAAACAATATAAGTGATTGTTGTGGTTATAAAAATACTACAATCTATCTCAATATCATAATCACTATAACAATCACTTTTCACTCCATTTCAGCGCCTGACATTATCTCCTTGAGCTGATTCATCTGGCCGAAAATATCTCAATATAATGTCTGGTTTCCAAAGCTATTCTTAAATCATTTTTAATTAAAAATAAATTGATTGACATGGTAATGATTACCAGGTTATCAATAAGAGTACTTTCTAACGGAATTTGGTTAAATGTCAGTGCACTCTGCACTTCTTTTCATGTTTCAATTCACTTGATAATATGTGTGCATTAGATCTTGTGCGAATTTGATACATAAATCATAAATATAAGAAATGTATCGAAAATTAAAATGAGCGCAAAATATCTTTTGTAATTAACAAATTTCTCTTGTAAGATGACTAAGGATTTTTCATCGCTATTTATCAAATCATCAAACGGTGACCAATACTTGAGAGTAGAAAAAGACACACAAAAGTATCCAAATATATGAGAATGCCCGAGAATGAATGTGAGACTTCTACGCGCAACATAGAAATGTGCAAAAGGAATTTTTTTCATTCCAAATGTAAGCATTTCAGCTGGTAATTTTTTATGGCACTTTTTATGACATATAGATTACATTGATGTTAAGAGTCAAATTTCTTGTTAAATCAGCGATAGTTGAAAAGTATAAATCGATTTTCGATAAAACTATCTTATATGCAAAGAAGTAAAAATGGCCAAGAGCAAGTTCAAGTGCTCATATTCGATTTATAGCGTGCTCTCGAAATTCCGCGGCTTTCAACTAGCGTTGCTTATGATAAAAGGCAGCTTTGGTTTTACAATTTGTGTGCCTATGATGAGAAACGAAACACATGACCAGAATTATTTGCTTCAAGAGGCGCTAAGATATTAATAATATAACAGCAGTGATCGTAATTTTCCATTGATTGAAAAAAAAGACGAAGACCGTAGTACTACTAGAATAAGACCGAGAATATTTTGTGCCATAACATTGGATCAACGTAATTCGACAAGCAGAGAAAACTAATCCAGTGTTTGTAGTCAAAATGATTTTTTTTCTTCCGAACTGCTCGTAAAATTCATAATCAACAGAAAGAAATCAACTGCCGCCAATAATTGAAAAAAACAAAAATAAAATTAATTCCAATTTTGAATTCAATATGTTGCGAGTGGAAGTGTCACATTCATTCTCGTATATTCATATATGTAAATTATATTAGGCGAGAGCGAAACCGTATGCGAAATATAAAAAAGAAGATATCGTTGTGCACAAACTTTAAACAGAGATATGTATTGAAGACGCACAAAGTGATATTCGAACATATTTATATATCAACAGATTGAACGGCGTGTGTATTCCTCTGCGTTTCGATCTGGCTGGTTGACAATATTTTGATAATCATTCATGATCAACCTCAGTCCAGCGTAGCACAAAACGCGTTTCGGTCACATAAAATCGATTTGTGAGTGTTCTTTTTCTAGTCAAAACAAAAATCGAGCACGCGTTCAATTCAAGTTCGACATTATTGAGTTATTATTCAAACGGATTTAAAAATTAAATATAAAAAAAACGGAAAAAATCTCAATTATTTACAAATGTAAAACAGTGAATTGTTCATACTTTTTAGAAGTGTATGACTAGCTCAAGTGAGTAGTGAATAATATAATAAGCATGCTTTGAAGCAAAAAAAAACGATTTTTATCAAAAAATTTCAATGTCTCTCGATACAATGGAATACCAAAAAAATGCGATAAAAGGTTACTTTTGAAGAAAAAAAAAACTTCGCTTTGATGTGAAATAAACAAAACAAAGCGATGGAAGCTAACGCAAAACTAGATCAAAAACAAATTTCAGTGACGATAATGATACACACAATGATCGTGCAATTGTCACAGACAAACCGATTACTGCTCGCATGCTGGGGAAGAATGTGCTCGTGAATGTATATTCTGTCGTGTGCTTAAATAATCAATCGCACACGCTTTACAATGTAGAACAATACAAATCGTTTGAATATTTGAAGAAGAAAAAAAAATTTCCTTCTGTTTGTCATCAACTCGAAATGATCAATTAGTTTGCTTAGCACATTCATGCCGTTTTATTTGTATTGACTGCTTAGATAATTTCTGTTTATACGTTCGCATTTGCTGAACCATGAACAAAATACCATTTATCACATTAACATCACACATTAAAATGTGAACTAATCATTGCATTCATGAATTGTTGTGGTAGTTTTGAATTTACTTTATTCATTTATGAAATAAATAAGAGTAATAATACGAATTGATTATTTGTCATTCAGATTAAATTCAAAATGCCAACACCATCACAAACACCAACGCCACAACCAAATCGATTGGCAGCAATGGCTGCAAACCGACCTCGGATCAAAATACAAATTCCACCGCCAAATCCGCAGGGCAACTATTTTGACGCAAAATCACCGTTTTTGAGCACAGCGCATAGCAATCAAACACATCTGGGCAGCGGTGCACCACAATGGCCACCATCATCACCATATGTAAGTCCATTTTCACCTGATAAAGATTCACTCACCGCCGGTGAGTTTATGTTCAAACAATTTGGCGGCATTAAAGATTTAACATGGGACTGGACCAAAAGTGGCCTCAACCATGGCGAAAAATCGGTTTTCTATATTTATGAAAAAATTAGCAAATGGTCACGCAAATGGTTTACGCATTTTTTTCTTATGAGCATCGTTGCTATGTACACCATTGCCGGCGCTTCCATTTTTATTTACTTTGAAGGTAAGAAATATTCCGGTTTTTTTTCTCGACAATAAACTGTTATTCGATTTGCTTATTGATGAAGTGCCGATATTTTTATGATCCAGTCACGTGTTTTTTCGAGAGCCGGAGACCTTTCTCGAAAATATTTTTTCCTGAACATTTTCTCGAAAATTCGAGGATTCCTCTTTCGAAAAATTATAAATTTTTTGGAGAAACTGTATTTTTTGTTTCAGAATATTTTTTTTTTTTTTTTTTTAAAAAATTGTTTTTTTTTTTCAAAAACTGAAATTTTCTAATGGCAAAGTAATTAAGATTAATCGACATGAAATGTAATACCATGGGTTTTTTGCGGATCGTTTTGAATATCGGCATTGATGAAAATTCGTCCATTGATTGACCACTTTAGTCAATATTTTACATATACAATTTAATGTGCGGCAAATTACAAATAATAAAACCAATCGCCTTTGGATTTAAAGGGTTAGAATATTGACTGATGTTATGGCTAAAATGTGGCCACAGCTCTTATCAGTACAGTAAATTTTTCCATTTGACTATTTGGAATCAGTGAAATATCAATGAACGAAAGAATAATTTTTGTTTTCAATATCTAATTGACATAATCGCTTAATCATATATTATTAATACCACTTTCTAAGAAATCATCATATTTTCGATGCACAATCTAATGCCAAGCGTGGATTTAATACTGAATCATAAAATCAACAATAACAAACGGTGTTTGTAACACAAACGGTAAAGAAAAGTGTATGTTTCCATCGTTGACCGTTATTTTCACATAAAAAGTGTTAACATTCGAAATTTGCATTAAAAATAACATTGCATTTAATGAATTCATCGCATTATACAATTTATGTTTTGTGTTTGGTAAATATTTGGGTGTTCCTTTTTGTGTTTTTATTTTCGCGCGTAAACTAAAACAAAAGCTTTGATTTCATTTTCTGTTGTCCAGGTCCGGCTCAAGAAAATTCAACGGCAGTATTTAACAACTTAAAAAAGGATTTCTCATTGAAAATGTTCGAGGTGTCAACATCAGAAGAATTACGAAAGGTATGTGTGTGTCAAACAGATTTTTTTATAATCCGTTTTTAAATATTCTTATTTTCATATGATTTATTTCGTTCACATTCATAATATAGAATTTCACAAGATGGGAGCAAATTGTCATACATGAAATAAATGAACTACAAACGGATTTGATAACATTATACAAGCTTGGCTATTTTGATGACGAACAGTATCTCCATGACGAAATCGCCCAAGATCGACGGGAAAAACGTAGAAAATGGTCATTTTGGAATGCAATGTTTTATTGTGGCACCATTTATACAACCATCGGTACGATAAATCAATCACAAGATATGATCATAAAATTGATATTGTGTTTTAGTGTTTTTTTTTGTATTGCTCGTAATGAGTCTTAAATTTATGTGCCTCTCATTAGCTAATATGTATAGAAATTGGAAAACTTTTCTGTATGACGTTTGCATTGAGAAATGTGCGTGGTCGGTTTAGAGTGAAATTGGTGTCTGTGTGAAGGATGAGTCAATGAAGAAAACTGTGTGCTGTGACAATTGCAAAATGTCCAATTTATTTAAATGTAACACGCATTCAAATGTGATGTCATTCAAACGATGACCGAATCAACGTAGAGCCTTTCTCCATTCGCTGCGTTCAATGCGAACATTTGTTTCCTGAATGTGTTCAAGTTTGAACGCTGCTTGGTGTCGATTGCTCAAAAATCAAAAATATCACATTTCTCCAACAGTAAAATGTGAAATAGATAATGATGCTAATATTTCATCGGAAATCTTTTTGGTTTTCTATAAATATATCCTTATATTCTGCTTTTGCTGGTTATGTGCTAAAAATATATGTCACTTAAATTTGCTACGTAAATATGTGAAAAATCATCATCGTGTTTGATATGTTCACAAAAGCACAAACAGTGGAATATATTACGATTCAACAGCTGTTCAACACCAAATACAAATGTACATTGATCAATTGAACAGTTGCCATCAAATCGATCGTAAAATGTTAACGGACTTCTTTAATCTGAAAACTAATGTACATATATCGCATAAAAGACGGTAAAATATACGTACATTTTGCCAAATGCATATTTATCTCACGTTCTCCACCAATTTCGGTCGATGTATGTGTGAACGGTTTCATAAGTGTGGTGAGCACTGACCGAAGTGAAAAAATGCGCCCAATCTAAAAATAACTATCATATTTATTACGTTACGTTTATACTCGGGTACTGCTGTTTGTGTTCAGTTTTTCTTTCTCGGCTTTTCCCGTCTCTCTCTATCTCTTTCTATATTCATTTATTGATTCATTTTTCGCTAGGCCGTTCGAAGATACGGTGAAAATGAAGCGTTTTCTTTCATTTTCCTCTTCGTTTTCTCTTTGATTCATTCGTTCGTTGTATATATTTACGTCTATTTGCCTCTCTTTTCTTTTCACCCTGCGAAATATTCGATGAAACGAGAAACCAATGACTATATGATGTGCCTATGTGAATTTCCCACAGTTTTACTGTCATCGTTCTTCTGTTTACTACAAACATGTTTCAATTTTATCGTCAAAATCTCACTTTTCTATCTTAGCCCCTGTTTTCATTGTAAATTATTAGTTTATTGTTGTTATCGTTGTTGGCTTTTTTTCTTCTATTCGTTCGTGTTGCAAAATTCGTTTGTTGTCGTCAAAAAACGACAATATCCATATTTGTTTCAGTGTAAAGGTGTGCGCTTTCGATCGAAAAGAGAGAAAAAAAAAACCTGGGCGAACATTTTCCGAAGTTATATGTGATACAAACAAGCGAAGAAATTTCGTGTGGAAAAAAAATTCGGTTGTCTCCTTCTCTCCATTAGATCGGTGAAATGTTTTTAGTGAAATGCGTTTTTAATCGAGTGTTCAGTAAATGGAAATTGCAATGGATGAAAACGATTGCTAATTAAGCATTTGTTGTTTATTTATTTATTTTTTATTGTTGTTGAGTGCATTCGAGTGTTGATCGATTAGTAAATTGTATTTTATTTTTATTGTTGTTGGATGTAAAGTGATACGATGAATGATACAAATGTTGATGCTCCGGCTATAATGCGAAGACGTCGCCGCATCGCACGTCAGCAACGTGAAAAAACGCCAGAACCAATTGCGAAAATTGGCGGAATCAAACCAAAATACTCCGATGATGAAAGCAGCAGTACAACAACAACAGCCACACCAAATGAATATGATAAAAGACGCACAAATCCGGCAACCATAATACTGGGCACCACCAAAGTAAAGACAACAAAAACAACGTCAAACAGCAGTGGTGAAGGCAGTCACAGAAATAGTAGTAATGTTGCATATAGAGAGAAAATTTTAAATCGCAGAGATCGTGCCAGTCGACCGATTTCAATAATCCGAAGTCAATCGACACCACGAGAAATACCACCCGATTCGCCAACAACCGATGAAAAAGCGCCCAGCGAAACAAGCGGTAATGTTGTACGATTTTTTCGAAAGGCTAAACGTAGCTTGTCAATACCTCGACGTCATCATGATGTGGCTTGTGAAACATCACCAATTCGTACCCATGATGAGGTTATAAAACGGTATACAAAATCGCCAATTGTTAAAATCGAACCAAAAACCGATCCGATCAATGGCAATGATCAAAACAGTCGGCTTCGAAAATTGGAAATGAATTTACAGCGGTTTGAAGATGAGCGAAAGATTTTCGCATTGGAACGTGAGAAATTTGAGCGTGAAAAACGTCAAATCGAACAAATGCGATTCCAGCGTTTGCTTGATTTTGAGCGAAAACGTTCGATGCAACAGAGAGAACGTGAACAATTAGCACACGAAGCGGCCGCCATTGCATTGGCCGAAATCGAAAAACAGAGAATTGTATTAGAACATCAACGGCATCGAAGAAGCAAAAGTAAATCATCATTTAATGGAAGTACAGAAACGTATGCTGATGACTATGAATCATCGACGGCCACATCATCTTCATCACGTGCTGATGATTTCAAAGATCACGATTTTGCAAATGATATTCCATTTGAATGTCTAGATGAGTTGCCAAATATCGAACCCAATTTCAATTATGAAATAGATGACGTTCAAACGGTTGCTGAAATGGAATCGCATGTTGATGTGCCAAAACAATCGTTACTTTCACGTTTGATTTTTGGCAAAGCAAAACCAAAGACAATCACACCCATTTCGAATCGTAAAACATATCTTCGGACGCGCGTCGATGATGGCGGTCCAATTTCAATTCGTCGAATCATTTTCATTGAATCGCCATTGGTTTGGCATCAAGTAATCGAATTACATCAAGACGAATGGGACCAAATGATGCGCATACGAAATCGATGCATCGCCAATTTTATACTTCTTTGTATATTCTTTGGTGTTGGTGGTTTAATGTTTCGTTTTATTGAAGGTGCTTTTGAAAATTTCTATAAATGTGGAGTTCGACGAGTGAAACGAGACTTTGTCGATCACTTGTGGTCGACGAGTCAGGATTTAAGGTTCGAATCAAATTGACATTTGGCTACTTTTACCGGGTTCTTTTCAACTTTATTTCGAAATTTCATTCAAAAATCTTTCACAGCGAGGACGATTGGAAATCATTGGCTCGCAGCAAATTAAGAGGTTTTGAAGAGGAATTGCACAGTGCACATGAAGCCGGATTGAGATCGTACAGTGGACTTAAATCGTGGACATTCATTAATGGTGTCGTTTATTGTATGAGCGTCGTAACTACCATCGGTGAATTTTATTTGCATGCACATTTTTACCTTTGTTTAACAAACTGAAGCATTTGAATCAATTTTACTCAATATTTTTTGTTATTTTTTTTTTATTTCGATATACACAATTCACTCTTGATTTCATATTGAAGTTGAGAAAAAGAAAATACTCATACAAGCAGTACAAAACGAAACATTGAAAACTCAAAAAATAAGAAAAATGTTATTATATGCACATAGGCTGGTTTGATTTCTACTAAAAGCACCGTTTTTGCTTATCTTTAGGATATGGCCACATTTCATGTACAACAAATACGGGTCGTGCCATTACAATTCTATACGCAATCATCGGCATACCATTGTTTTTGATCTTACTGGCGGATTTTGGCAAGCTATTCACAAGAGGCATTAAATTCATTTGGTCCTATGTCCGGCGACTGTATTACACGGGTTCAATGCGCAGAGTGAGAAAACAGGCACAAGTACAGGTAATAACAATGTCAATACTGACTTATTTTCATTCTGTCCTCTTAAATGAGAAGACCACATTTTGAATAAATTTATCGTTTTAAATCTTCAATAGGAGATGATTCGTGGAATGAGTATAGCATATGACATAGCCACATTTCGTCGTCCAAGTATGATGGCAAAAGAATCTGATTTGGAGCGTGCCCAAACGGCTACACCAACGGCTGGAACGTATAGTGAAAGTCCCACCACCCCAATGCCTCCCGAAATGGAAATTGACGATGAATTCAATTTGCCCATTTCGTTGGCATTCTTCATTTTGATCTTATACATTTTGGCCGGTGCTGGTGTATATTCAATTTGGGAAAATTGGACATTCTTTGAATCTTGTTACTTTGTATTTGTGTCAATGTCAACAATTGGCTTCGGTGATTATTAAATATTTTTGTGAAAATCTCATTTTGATTACAAAATAAGCAAAGAATATTTTACCTTAATTTTTAGGTGATTATGTGCCACAGCATCCAGCCCGAATGATGGCAAGCATAATTTATTTGATCTTTGGTCTTGCGTTAACATCTATGTGCATTAATGTTGTGCAAGTTAAACTAAACGACAGTTTTCGTCATGCAAGTGCCAAGATTGGTGCTACGATCGGTCTTACTTTGGCCGAAGAAGAAGCACGCAGCTCACAAAATCTCACACCGGTCCCGGAAAATGCATCGGTACACTCGTATGGCAAAAATTCAGACAAAGTTGATTCAAAGCATAGCATTGACTCAGGCAACTATGATAATGCTGAATTTCGTGATGGCAAAGTTTTGCAGGTCAGCGATCCAAAACAACAACCACTTTTACAAAAGTCTGCCGACAATATAGATGTGAACAATAAAACGAAGCACATTTAATTTGTAATTCACTTGTATCTTGATCTTTTTTTAATTTAATTGTGTGTCCTTTTTTCTGTTGAAAAACAATTTAAATTATTATAACATCTTTTTGGATTTTTATTTTACGGAATTTTCTCGTCGTAATAAAATATCGTTGATTAAACTTGTTAAATTTCGATTATGTTTTATTTATTAGGTTTTTTTCCGTCACAGTTTTTGTTCAGAGGAAAAAATCGATTGGTTACATAAAACGAAACTTTTTTAGATGAAAAAAAAAAACATTTAAAAAATAGGATCGTTTAGGATGTCATTTTTTCTACATGGATAGTGCAGTGGTGAAATATGAAATTTGAATTCAATTTTATTTACCACTGGTGAACAGCTGTTGCATTAAACGTCAGTGTCAAAGTATGCTACGCAGTTTATTTTTTTTTTCAGTTATTCGCTTTTAATTTTCGTTTTAATTCATCAAAATGGGTGTTCGGGGATTAAAAACGTTTTTGGAAAACGAAAAACAAACCCGTACAGTAAATATTGCGTACGAAGTTCAACAATGGAAAAGGTGAACATGTGAAAATGTATGGTTGTTAAATCACTATGTGACGAGTATTTTTTTATATCGAAATTTTCAGACACAATCCCGGCCAAACGCCGATATTAGTTATAGATTTCTGTAGTCTAGCTAATTGGGTCGCGAGATGGGATAAAATCGGCAATATCTGTGGAGGTCAAAACCAAAAGGTATTGCAACATTCATACTTACTTTAAAATTACTATTCCATTACTCTACAACTCCTAATCCATTCCTTCGATTCTTTTTGATTGATTAATTTCCATTTTTTCCATTCTTTTCTTCTAATCATCCCTAGGTATTGCAAAATTGGACACATATTTTGCACGATCTCAAAAACACTGGTTGCTCATTGGTATTTTTCTGTGATTTGAAAATCGAAGAAAACAAAGTTGTAGAAATACTTATCCGACGCAATTACGAATTTAATTCAAGCACAAAAATGTATGATTTAATTGACAGTGGCATGGCATTAAACGACGTCTCGAAAAACGCCAGTACAATGGCACTGCAAACATCATTCTATGGATTGTGTGAGTTATGAAACTAATTTTCCATCTTCTTTTAAATTAATTTTCCATTATTTTCATTATATACTGATTTATGTTCAAAATGTCCCTTTTTCTCTCTCTCAGGTCAGATATCGAAGAAATTTGGTAAAATGTACTACGCAATTGAGCGTGAATGTGATGTGGAACTAGCAAATTATGCCACAAATAACAATGCAATGGCAGTCATTTCAAATGATACGGACTTTTTAATATTCGCCGGTGTGTGGAGACTGTGGTCATCGCAAGATATTCGCCAAATCAAAAACAAACCATACAAATCAACGCGAGTCGAAACCATTGAATACGATCGAAACGCAATCGTTAAGATTTGTTCACTCTCACAACATCAACTACCGCTATTCGCAACGATAATGGGAAATGACATTACGGAAAAAAAGTACAGAAAGACATTGGTTGAATTACACAAAAACGTAGATCCGACGAAAGCATGTAAGGTCAGAAATGTTGCCAGAATTGTTCAAAGAATTTATGCATCGATAGATTCAAATACAAATATAGATATTAAACATATCACCAAGCACATATTTGGCGATGCCAGTGACGTGGAAGAGCAAACGATCCAACAAAGCATCGATTCGTATAACATTGACTATACACCAAGAGTCATTGATGATCCGATTGAAAAGCAAATGATGAACACCAACATGTATAGTGAATATATGCACATGCTGGGTTCTATCATAGAAATCATCATACCATTTTATGACATGCGTGGCTGTGATGATAGTTCAACCCTATCAACACTCATGATTGATTGGACGAAACGAAAGATCGGCATTCTGCGTCATCAACACAAAAACCATACATTTACGCTGTTGACAAAAATAAACATTCACGAAGATTTCAGGACTTTTGCCGAAACTCCGATTTTTCCAACATGTACGTCTTTGATTTAATGAAGGCTTTTAATGATTTTTTTTTCCCAAATAGTTAAGGTGCCTTCATTAGATCAGTTATATTTCGGCGATGTACAAAACTACAGAGAAATTGCAACAAAAAGATGGCAAATATTCGGATGGATCATGTCACTCGCGCCAAAGACAATTTCAATCATAAGAAATCTGCCAAAGAAATTTCAACTAATATGCACTACTCTCTTTATATTAGTTACGGTACATTTTCTTCAAATATTTTGAAGTGAAAAACTCATGTCTTCTAATGGATGTATTAATTTTGTAGAATCGACTGATTAGCATCGAACAGGCCGATGGCATTCTTCATACAGAAATTACAGCTTCGTCAAGCAATATGAACACACATTTGACAATTGTTCTATCGAAACACATTCGAGCTGCTCATCTTTACAACATCATGTTTGCTGAAGTTGGAACATGCTTTTCTATTGCCGGTCTTTTTTCAGGCATTCAGGTACGACATAATTACCATAATTTTACAAAGAAATTTTATTTCGATTTAATTTATTCCATTTTGCTTTACTTTTAGAATGTAACGCAATTTGATGGTGTTCGATTTCAAAGAACAATGGTAATGGTGGATCAGACCAAGTCGGCTGCATTCATTATTCCCAAGAAACAACTTCGCATTTATAAAAATATATAATCAGACTTCGTGTGATTTTCAATTAATGTGATCTTTTCATCAAATGTTATATTTTTTTTAATTTGAAACAACTTTAGTTTAATAAAAATTAATTAAATTTTTTAAATAAATTTAAAAAAATATATATTTTCCAAATGATTTATTTGAATAGGAAAAGAAAAATAGTAAATAAGGTAAGAAAATGAATTATTTATTATCATTTTAACGCTTCGGTCGGTGCCAATATTTGGGACATTTAACTTAAGTTAAATACATTATTTATGAAAATCAGAAACAAACACCATTGATATGGCTAATAAACAAGATTCAAATTATTCAGAACTGTTACGAAGTTTATCTTTTTTATAGCCTATATAGTTTGGAGAGTAATGTTCTGGTGTTAACCCTCTGTTTCGATTAATAGGAAGACATAGTAACTCATCTATGCTCTGAAAATGTATATAAAATGTAAAAAAATTATATATATTTTTAATTAAAAGAATTCCATTAATATTACATAGTTATTTTGTTTATAAATTGGAATGGTATCCAATAATTTAGAAAAATTCGTTTTTTCTTCTGATGCTGGATACTTCTCTAAACTTTTTTCAATTCTTTCAACCTGAAAATGAATCACAAACAAATGAACAAATATTTTAAATTAACCAAAGTGAATGGAATGGAAGCGAGTGCCTATGGAAATACCCACCACGCTATCGTATATGGTGATTTTCGGGAAATCTCTTTTACTTCCTTCAATTAGTTGTGCTGCCTCTACAAAATAGCCACAATCGGCTAATGCAATGAGTCGAACAAAAACTTGTACAAAATGTTGTTGTATGTTGGATTCTAAAATTTCTAAGGCAATATTTGGTTGACCCAAATTAATCGCCAACATGCTTAGAAATGTTCCACTTTGAAATAGTTGTTTCTCTTTGGGCAATTTATTCCAAAATTGCAGGCCATATTTTAAATGCTCTTCTGTGTTCTGTAATCAATAAAATTATATTTTTATCTAAGTTTCTTTCCCCTTTTCTCGTTATTTATTTTGAAATCTTACCAACTTATAGCATGCAGCTAACGCTAGACAGTTCAATTGAGGGGACATTCCCTTTTGTACTTTTTCTTGTTTTTCATGGTTAATTTTTATAATGTGTAACACATCCTCGTACATTTTATGGTTGAATAAAAGATCCAATAAAACGAATTTCGACTCTAACTTATCAAACATCAATGGTATTTGCTCATTGTTGAAGATCTACAAAGCGAAAATTAAATTGATTTTCAAATTGAAAAGTATAAAAACAGTATTTACCTTCAATGCTTGGTTTGGCAAATCATGGTAATGAAACATTCGCATTACCACTGTTCCAAAATTAAATGCTTTCATTTGTTTTTCATCGCTATGAATTAATTGAAGGTTCGTTTGTATTTCGGAAAATTTCTCTACGCATTCATCTCTTTTCATCACATGCACCCAGTACTTCATAAACCTGGCCATTTTTCCCGCTTTCGTTTCAATTTCCATTGCCTTTGGATCAAACGGTAATTGCGTTGATCGTCGTACCTCATAATCTTCAATGCCCAAGAAACTTTTTGTGAACAAAGTTCTCACCGATCCGATCATCCCTATACAATTCAAAAATAATGAACATATGACCAAATACGGTATTCTTATATTTAAATAACTTACACTGCTTTTGCATTGCCCGTAATTGCAAAATTGATTTACAGCTTAAATAATTCATTGTTGAACACGATTTTTTTAGCGAACACGATTTTAATATTATATAAAACTTTCTGTCTTTCTGTGGCCGGAACAACATGACATGTGACGTTTCCATAAGTGGCACATTCACTAAACATACTTTGACAGATCTGTCAAAAGTTCAATTGTTAAAAATCCCAGTACATTTTGAATCGATTTTCTTGGCGTTTTCACCAAAAGATTAAACAAAAAATTGTGAATGCACCAAAAATCGAATGTTCTTATCGAAATTATTTTATTATTTTTGTAATTTTATTCTATTGAAATTCAGTGAATAATTAGAAATGTTCGAAATGCATTTAAGGTTGATTGACTTGAAAGCTTAATATAATGATGTTCTTGTCATGAAGTTTTCGGTTTTTATTTTATTTTATTCTCAGCATTGTTTTTATTGCCAACAGAATTCAGATAAAATCAAAATTTCCATGCCTATATAGCCTAAAATGCCTCTATATCCTAATTTTCTCGAGTGTTTGCATTTCATTGGAAACCTACATATAAAAGGTGTGAAGAAACCCCAAACCAAAATAGCATGGAGCTGTATAAAGTGATTTTTTTTTTCAATTAAATTTCAGTACAGAATTTTATATTTAGAACACCTATTAATTAATAATACCCAATGAAAGCATCCAATGGAGAAATATTTCAATAAGAATCTTACCATGGTTAGGACTGAATACTTGAAAGTCTTCAACATCATTCAATGAGACGATAGTCTTAATAGCTGATACTTTTAGACATATATATGAATCTTAATACAACTTGCATTTAGTTTGCTATAAGTTTTATAATTGCTTGTTATTTTGGATGGTTTATTGTTGCATATATTTTCTTGGCTTGAATTCATAAAAAAAACCCAGCATAAACAAATAAAATGATTATTATTGTTGTTTATTGTTTAATGAAAAAAAGGTTGTAACAAATTGGATTTTGTGTTTAACGTTCAATTTTATTGAACGCGTAATTTTTGTAAGCGCGATTTTCCATTTTCATCTCGACCAACTCGTGTATAGCTCATAACACGGCCCAATGAATTGATGAAATCTTCATCGTGAGTGATAACAATCAGCATAAAATTGCGTTGACCTTCACGCTCTTCGACAATCCGATTAAGAGCTTCACAAAGTGATTCAATGTTGATTTTGTCCAAATTTGTGGTCGGCTCATCAAGCGCCAATACACCACAATGACCGCTAAATGTTTCAGCCAATGCAATGCGTATTATAAGACAGGCAAGAACACGTTGACCGGCACTGCTTTGACCACGAAAATCCATGAGTGTATCATTCTTCGATGCGACAACTCGATATCTATGCAAAAATGTGAAACAAAAACAAAAAAATTCTAATTTTGATTTGAAAAATTCGATTGACCACTTGTTTTGACTTACGTGTACGATCGTCGTCTCGATGTGCCCTTCACTTCTTCTGTATTGATTTGTATGAAATCAATGTCGTTGCCTTTGTAGATGTTACGCCACAGATCACGAATCAAACTGTTGATTTTCTCCATTTTGTCGCTGTGAAATTTGGTGAGTGCACGTTCCAATGTTTCGCAATACGTGTTCAAATCTTCGACGGTCTTGGTGAGCACAACACTTTCATAGCACGACATTTTATAGTTGCGCACAGAATCGCGATATTTTGGTTGATTCGTTTGTTCTCGTAAATTGTTGATGACCACTTCTTTTTCTTTCATTTGTCCCTCCGTTCGCGTGCTGTCCAATTTAATTTTTTCAATATCACGCGCCAATTTCGCCTTATTACCGAATATCTGCTGAAAATCCACTTCTTGCTCGTGCTTTTGCAATGTCTCCAATTCTTTTTTCTTCTCTTCGATTTTCTTTTGATGCTTCTTCAATGCCAGATTATCGTTGAGCTCACGCTCATTATTCTTTTGTTCGGCAATTTCTTTTGTAAGTGATTTGATTTTCTCGCGAATCGTTTCGATTTCATTGTTCTAAATAAAATGAATTGAATAAACTTTTTTCATTAATCAAACACAAAAAAAAAATGTTTGTTTTAAATTTGTAGAAAAACAAGTTACCTTGGCCGTTTGTTCTTTTCGCATTTTTGCCAAATCAGCACTATATCGTTCGATCTCCTTTTCCAAGTCCAAAGTGGCCAATTTTTCGAGTTCTCGAGACACCCGTTCGATGGAGTCGAAATTCTTTTTCAAACCTTCAAATCGCTTCACAGCCGCATTATATTGTTCAGCGCCATTGGCTCTGGTGCGGCATCGATTATCTTCGGCAAATTTAATTTTTCCTTGGATCGGAATCAATGCTTGATCACTGGCCGCCTGTTTTTCCTTCAATTTATTGATTTGTTCGGTGAGCTCTTTTTCACGTTGCTTCAATGTTTCGCTCTGTTGAATATCACTTTTGAGGTTCATTTCTTGTTGTTTCATCAACATCACTTTCTCTTGGAATTGAATCAATTTTTTTGCATCGTCTTGATGTCGTTTCTCTTTCATTTCGATGTCCTTTTCCAATGATTTGATGCGATCGGAAAGTTCCTTTCGTTTCTTCTGTAAATTCTCCATATTGTTATCACTTTGACCGCTTGTTGCGGTTAGTTCTTGTTTCATTGGTTCCAAATCGATACGAGTCTGTTCAATATCACGAATAGCATCATCCAAAATGGTCATATCACCGATCATTGTATCAACAGTGGTTTTCTTTTGACGCGGTTCCTCGACTAAATGTTGTGATTGTCGGATTTTTTCTTGTGCACCTGTTAATTTTGCTTCAAGATCTTTAATCTCTTCGATTACCTTCGGCATCAATGTCATTTTCAGATTTTCTACCCGCTCAACACTGCCTTGAATCGCATATAGTTTTTCCAACTTTGAACTTTGAGCATTCAATGCTTGTTCGCAAACCGTGATATCAGTTGGTAAATTTTCAATTTTATCGTTCAATTCATCCGTTAAATCGCCCACTTCACCGCGATTAAGATCTTTGTGACAAAGCGGACAGCATGGTTGATCTTGCATGTTCTTTATATACCTGAAATGAACATTAAAAAAAATTAAATCATCGAAAATGGCTCACAATAGGCTGAATGAAAGACTTACTTCTTGTAGAACACCTCGGATGACTTGTACGAACTGAGTTCCATTTGGTATTTGGCGACACTTTCTTTGGTCATGGCCAAAATCTCAACGAATGGCGTCTGCTCACACACGCGATCGATATCGTTTTCCAATTTCCGTAATTCACCTTCCATATTAGTTTGGTCCTTTTTCTTGCTTTGCAATTGAGCCTTATAGTTGTGCACGTGATTCTCTTTTAAACGGACTTCAGCCTCAAGTCTATTCACCTCCATTAGCAATTTTTTGCCAAGACTTTCGATGGATCGTTTGAAATTGGTTTCGATTGTTTCGTCCGGAAAGAGACGTTGCAAATTTTGAAAATGCTTATTTTTAATGCGACGCACTTCCAATTCTCGTTTTTCAACATGTTTCTCCTTTGTGGTCACCTCGGCCAAAATGTTTGCCATCGAACTGAGCACCGTAATTTGTTCGTCAATCTCTTCCAATTCATCGGAAAGTTTACGCTTGTCAACGCGAAATTTATCAATATCATTTTGGGTATTTTGTGTATTTTTATCTTGTAACATTTGGCTGTGAATGGCTTGCATTCTCTCAAGTTTCGATTGAAGATCAACCAAAAATTTAGCATTGCTTTCGCTTTTTCGAATATCTTCTTTTTGTTTGTTGACAGTTTGTTCCAACTCCTTCAATTGTTTGATGGTCGATGTAATTTCACTTTTGATACGAACTTCTTGTTCACGATGTCCGCGAATTTCTACCTCTTGCTCGGCATCGATTTTATCATTCTGCTTGGATATTTCTTTGACGCGACTCTGTTCTTCATTTAATGACGTTCGGATTTGTGCGACCAGGGCCGCTGCACGGGCGTTATCATTTCTGATATCAAACTCCGTATTGATATTCAAATCGGCACACAAATTTCGAATAAACTCACACTTTTCATCGTATAAATCTTGTTCACGACCACGATCTTGAATCAATAAATGATATTTTCGGTCATTGTCATCGTAACGCTTTGCAATTTGATCGAGCTCATATTTAACCGTTCCCAATATATTTTCATCTTGAGCCAAGTCATTTTGTTTCTGCAATTGTCGCGCTTTGAACATACGAATCTCTTCATCCAATTCAGTTTCATTGCCGTCGAACACATTTTTTATCTGCGTCGACAATTTTCGTGCATTTTCCTGCTCATTTTTATATCTAACAAGAGAAAAATTCCGAATTGCATTCGATTATTTTCAATTGTCATTTAATTCCAAAAGAAAGAGAGAACAAATAAAGTACTCACTCGGTTTCAACTTTTGTTTTAGTGGCTGTAATCGTCGATAAGCGTTCGCCAATCTCATGGATTCGATTGTATTCGTCGTACATCGGTTTCAAATCATTGTTGCATCGATCAAGCTTGACCTTCATCTCTTGCATTTCATCTTCATGTTTATTAATTTCCATGTTCATTTTATCGGCTTCCAATTTGATCATCTCCTTCTCCTTCAAATTAACCTCTGTAAATAAAATTCACCTTTTAAGAGAATTTTCTCATATTTTCAGAATTGTAAGGTAAAACAAATCTACTAAACAAATTTATTTGTCATATGCAAAGTCAAAGAATAAAAAAAAATACAAACTTTTGTCTTTGATCGTGGCTTCATATTTCTTGCGTATTGCGCGCATCTTATCCAAAGCATTATTGTATTCGGTGGTGCCGAAAATCTGATCGAATTTGCTCATCACTTCTTGATCAGTGCCCAGAGGCCAACTTGCTTCTTCTTGATGACAAAATAGAACGTGATTGATGATGGCTTTCGATACTCCAATGGCGCACGTCATTTCATCCGTTGCGTCGGCATTCCTCTTGCTAACCGAAATCTCTCGCCCATTTTCGCTCAACGTAATTGTTGCATCGAGCGATTTGAATTGTACCTTTTGTCCTTTCTTCATCACTTTGGCCGAACGAGAAATTGTTGTTTCTGCACCTTGCAAATTTTTGATCTAAGCAAACAATGGTGTCGATTGGTGTTTTTTTTTTAAATTGAATACAATCAATTCATTGATATTTTCACAAAATTACTTACACGCAACTTGACCTGTCCCATAGATTCGCTGTTATTCTGAATTTCTGGATTGTTGATGAACCCGATGCCATTTTTACAATTGGGCGGCAACTCTCCGGTCAGCGCATACTTGATGCATTCGATAATTGTGGTTTTACCGCTACCATTTTGGCCCAAAATTAGCGACAATGGAGCGGTGAACGTTATTCTCTACAATACCAACATTATTTTTTATCATTTTAGAAAAATGGCTTCTGTTTGAATGGAAAACAACATAAAATAATCGTAGATAGTAAAAAAAATTGTACAAACCTGTTCATCTTCAGCATCGACACCGAAATTTCGAATGCCACGAATGTTGAGCCGCTGTAGCGTTGACATTGTAAGTGTTTTTTCCTAATCGACAGCTTGGATTTTTTATGAACACTTTGTTGGTCTGAGTTTATTTGGTATTTCGTCGAAATTTGTGAATTTCACAATAAATTGAAATAGCGAACCAGTTGCATCTGCGATAAAGTGCGTTGTAAACAAATTCAAATGTCAAGTTTGCCGCTTATACCATACAACATAGTATAGGATATTTTGACATTTCAATATGATTCACATTGCATGAACATAGCCTAAAAATGGTTCAATCAAATTGATACTATTTGATTTAAATCATGCACGTTCGTTTTGGAAAATAAATTTAAGTGATTTATATAAAAAAAAATCGAATCTTTTGTAAAAATAAATAATTTTAAAAAATGTAATAGCAGGGAAAATATTAGTTCAGTGCATGAAAAATGTTGCGCCATCTATGAGATTCAATGCTTATTATTTGGTTAGCATAGTTCGAAAAAACCGATTTTCAAATAAATATAATAAATATTAATAACTTTTACCATAAAAGAGAATACATTTTTTGTTTAAACTATTTAAAAAAAAAAACGTAGAACAACAAACGTCCTTTTTTCAGAACCAATCATTTTTCTTTCTTCTTTCATCTTTCCATTGTTGATTCAATAAAACTGAACATATATGTGGAAAAACATGTTTGTCTAAAAGTTCAAAATAAAAATTATTTTTTATCGATTTAAATTTTCTTGACAAAAATTTTTACAAAATAGATCTTATGCCGAATCGATCATTTTCATGATGAAAATTTGATAGAGATTGCAAAAATATATATTAAAAAAATTCTATTATCAATTTCCCTTCAATATTTTTTTGCCATGAACTACCTTATTTAAAAAAAATTGAAAGATAAAATGCACGTCGTCCAGTAAAAATCTGTAATGTGAGAACAAATTATGCATTTATCATAATTAAACAATAAAAATGGTCAAACTATGTTTGCTTTTCATTGTCAATGCAAATATTCAAATTTTCAAACCATACCATATTTCATGCACATTTGAATTTTCGTCACAACCGCAAAAATACTATTTTGAAATATTGGCATTGATATGAAGTGGTGTGTATGTATGTGTGTATTAGCCTAATCACTCTTTTTTTACTTAATTACTTTATTTGTCCTGTGCATATTACTATCACTTAAACCTGTGTGCCGTGTTGACAACGCAAAAGTGCATTTCTCGTTAAATTTTATTTTTCGTCACATTTAAATATTAAAACATCAAGTGCCTATTCAAATAAAAAACAGTCAAATTCAATTGAGAAAAATTCAATATTTATTTTGATTTATAATAAATTTCTTGTGTTAATTATTGTTTTCGGTCTCAGCGATCATTCATCACCACCAGTAAAAAAAAATGTCATCAAATGTGCCAGAAAATGCACGAAATGATAATAGAGACAGAATGGCAGAGATGCAAGACAGTTTTGAAGATTCGGTTCGTCGCAGCTTGAATCAATTGCAACAACGTCTTCAGGAGCGTTTTGATCGTTACGAGATAAAAATACAAGAGCTTCAATCGGAATTGAATGACAGAGAAAATAAGTTACTCGAAATGCAATGGAAACATGAAATCGAACGTAAACGTTGGCTGGACACGATGAATAAATTGAAGGAAAATAAATGAGTATCTCTTCGACCACCTTTTGCTAAATTATATGGAAATTGTTCGGAAATTGTTAACAAAAAAAAAAAAAATAAATAAAATATTTGACAACAACAACAAAAAATCATTGTTTTTCTTTTCATAAAAATGGAATTTGTTGCGAATTTAACCGATTGATAATGATGAGATTATGAGCGCCATCTGCATCGCAGAAGCTGTAATTTTCTCGATGTATGGACGCCATTTTGGATATTTGTTGTTCATTTGTTCTTTTCATTCGCCTTTTTCAGCTCACAAACAGTTTGCTCTGAAGTATGAGCACGCATTTTGACGACTAGCAGCGAAGTTAATGCTGAAATAAGTTGATGTCGTAATTTTGATAGTCTGAAGTTATTTGCATTATCTGACATGAAAAGTGTTAAACAATTTTTTAGTATTGTTTTCATTGCAACATAAACAAAGTGAAATTTAACATTAAATGAATTTATTAATTAAAGGCATAATACATTGACAGCTGCAAAATTATATTGTATGGTGAATGTACACCAAAAACTCAATACCATTTTTATATACACCGAAAAACCCAAACCAAACGAGAGGAAAAGAGAAAGAGAGTTAATCTACTTGGCGCTCACATAAGGCAAAAATATGTCAGGTAACAACTTCATAATGTTTGCGGCAACAGAGTTCATATTTATTTACATTTTCAATAGACCGATATGATGGAATTCGGCAGTTGAATTATTGTCGATCATATAAATAACAATTATACTGATTTGACAGTTGATACTGATGAAATTCACATTCACCCGATTGCAAAATGATATTGTTATGTTTTTTTTTTGAAAAATTTCTTTTCTCATTTTATTTCAAAAAAAAAAATGTTTTTATGTAAACAGTAACATCGAAGCGGATGGTTAAACTTGTGACCACCAGACGCGGTAATGTTGATATCGTTGAAACGGATCCAACAACATCTGATCATCATGAATACATTGCAGCCGTTGATGAATCGACCGACGATGATGGTTCCATTGCGTACATTGATAATTATGATATAAACGAAAATGGTGATGAGGATGCACCGTTTTTCATCGAATATGTTACCGCTGATGATGGTATTTTAACCACTGGCGATAATAATGAAACCGAATATGAAACAGAACAATATACTGAATATACAGAAGATGACGATACAAATGAGGATTTGTATAATTGTAATTTATGTGGTATGAATTTTAATTCGGTTGATGAACATATTGAGAAATATCATGGGGAAGAAGATGTTTTTGTTGATATTGGTGAAAGTGGATCGGGTGTAAAAACCGAACGGGTTTCCGATGAGGATGGCCAAGAAAATGAAGATGAAGGTATGTTAACCGGATCGGACAATGTTAGCATCACCGATGGCGAATTTATTGCATACGGGGATGAATCACTTGAAAATGATAATGATATTTTGGCCGACATCACCGATGACGATGATCAACTTCAGTCAGAAGTTTATACATATGATGGTGCGACTGGCGCAATCACAAGAGCAACTAATGTCAAGGGCGGCAAACAAACTAATGTATGTTTGATTTTCAGAACCGTTATAGGCGGTGGTGCAACACTTGAAAAATTAACTGAGTCATTCGGTGCTCAAGTGCAGTGCTCTGTTGATTCTTCAAAATTCAGATTTATTATTATTTATTACTTCATTAATAATTTTTTTTATTATTATAGATTACACCACAATCGTACGAGTGTCAACGATGCAGTGCAGTTTTTGCAACAATCAAATCCCTGTGCACACATAAGTGCACACAACCCGAAAAAGAACCGAATGCAAGTATAAAAAAGCCGGTAAAAAGATCGGCCAAATCGACGAGCAGAGGAAAAGCCAAAGTTCAACGAACAACAACTGACGATGATGCAACAAAAGAAACCGATCACATTTGTTTGATTTGTAATACGACATTTTATTCAGCAAAGAGTCTCAAGTAAGTTTTTTTTTTTCAAATCGATAAGTTTCGTTATTTCTGCTTTGATTCCAGGATTAATAATTCGTTTCTTTTGTTAATCAGACTACATGCTCGAATGCATTTGCCAGTGAAATCGAAAACCATCGATGAAGCAACTGAACATGAAACGGATCCTTTGACAATTGCCGATCAAGATAACCGTGAGAAATTCTATTGTGACATTTGTGGCAAATATTACGACAAAACATTTGAACAAGTTCATGTACAAATGCACAATGGCGAAGAAAAATATAACTGTCACATTTGTAATAAAGTATTTCCGAATGAAGAAAGCATTAATATGCATATGAATGCACATCAAGATACGCGCGTCGTAAGTTTCATTTTAAATTCAATTCTTGTGACTGTGTAATAGTTTTAAAAATTCTCAAATAGATCAAAACCAAAGCCGAACTGAGTAATATCAAATTGCCGTATGGATGTCAATACTGTGGTAAAGAATTTGCTCGGCCACACGAAAAAGTCAAGCATGAACGAGTTCATACAGGTGCTACACCAAAAAAAAATATTTTTTTTTTCTTTTATTTGAAACGATGTTTGCTAATACACGATTTTTGTGTTATTTTTAGGTGAAAAACCATATGAGTGTGAATTATGTGGAAAATGCTTCAGAGTCTCATATTGTTTAACCATTCACATGCGAACTCATACAGATGCTCGGCCTTACGTTTGTCCTCAATGCAACAAAAGGTAATTTCAATTATTGTTTGTTTACCATTGAAATGAATATGCGTGAAGCTTGATAGAATTTGATGGAAATCAAACCGTCAAACATATAGTCCAGAGATGGCGCAACAGCTTATGATTCGCTAAATCATGAATTTCCGTGTTTTGAGCATATAAGACGAGTGTAATGCATATAAGTTTGTGTCTATTGAAAGGAGAGCTGGTTAGCACTCCCCTTGACAAGGATGGAACACATAAATGGTCGGATGGCACTGTTAGATATTCGACCGCCAATTTTTTTTTACCAATTCATTATTTCAACCTTTTTTTCGTGACAATTTTTTTTCTTCATGCAAATACATGTATGTATGTCGTTTTTTTTAAATGAGAAACCATTTTTTTGTTTCAATTTTAGATTCAAAGCACAATCGGTATACAATCATCATTTGTTGACGCACTCGGATGAACGAAACTATAAATGTCCGTATTGTCCGAAAACATTTAAAACATCCGTACAATTGTCGGGACACAAGAATAGCCATACAAAACCATTTACATGTACAGAATGTAATCGCCCATTTGGATCATTGTATGCCGTTCGGGCACATATGGAAAGTCACAAACGACCCAATCATAATTTAAAGCATAAATGTGATATTTGCGGCGCAAAATACGCGCGCCGTTTTGCACTCAACGATCACATGAAGGAACAACACAAGGACGTTCAATTAGTTGTGGACGATGTGAGTATTTGGCTTTTTTTTTAATTTTGATCTTTTTTTCGTCTCATGCAGAGAAAATATAATTAAAGAAAAAATCTTAAACCAAAATTCAATTGCAGTCAAACACAGGCAAAAAATCACAATCAAAACGAACAAAAAAGGTAAAACAAATTCCAATAATTGAAGAGGATGACGGAAGCGAACTTGAAGTAGCGGGACAATCAATTTTACCTAATATGGTTGAACAGGAGGTAATTTATCACATTTTTTAGGTCAATTCATTCGAATAAAAAATGTATTTATCGAATTGTTTTTTTTTTTTTTTTATTTCAGATAACCATCAGCGAAATCGAGCATTTCGACAATGAAGAAGAAGTAGTTGAAATGGATGATTGGCTAGAATAAAATAAAGAATCTTTTATTTTCAAGCATTTTACATAAATCGATTAAGTCGTGTTAAGCGTATAGATTTTTCTTTCTCATTCAAAATGTTTTGTAAAAAAATAATAATAATTAAAAAAAAAAAAACACGAATTGTAATCAAAAGAAACTAAACAACACATTCACGAAGTACAAAAAATAAAATTGTAAATTTCAAAAAATAAAATAAAAAGTATTGCAGAATTGAGAATGCCGTCTGTAAAAGAAATGCCGTTTTATTACGGATGTCACAGCGACCTCTATGTGTTCGATGCTGTGTTGTGATGACACCATAGACGCCATTTGTATAAATACAATTGCCATCAAAATCTCTTTTCAAACCCTACTAGCTACGAGCTATACAGCGGTAGATTAACATTTAGACAAAAATGCAACCAAAAGTGAGTAAAAATTGTGAAAATCATCGAACATTTTGCATAAAATTAAACTATAATGTGTTTTTATTTATTTTATAGCGGAGAGAACCACTTCAAGCCGTTCAAGTTTTCGGCAAAAAGGTAAATATCGTGTCGGATCTTTGTTGTAAACAGTACACGTGGGTTATCACAGTAATAGCCGATTGAACATATTTTTACCGAATCTTTTGCGTATCTCAAGTTTATTGCAATGAAAAAAGTCCGTTTAAATTCGATGATTATTGTTAAATGCATATATTGATTGTGATTTTAGTGTTCGATCAATTCAATTGAGTGTGGTGATATTTTGAGGTTATGAATCACCTATATTCAGTGTATTGAAAGTGATATTATGATATTCAGGCATCTAATTTGATTTTTATTCTTCAGAAAACCGCCACTGCTGTTGCCCATTGCAAACGCGG